GTGTCGATTTAACGACTGATTCTATTCGAAAATATCGTTATGCTTAAGAAAAGCTAAACTAGCATTAATTATATTGCATTCGTATTTCTCAGGCCCTTAATTATTGTCTATTTTTTATTTCTTTTATGAATCTCGTATGTTTTCCTATTGACAAACTGTGTATTTTATATTAATGAAAAGAACATGTGTTGTTTTTGGTTCTGCTTTTTTCGAGTGTAGTCAGATACGGGACACTTGTGTGTTAAAGGATTTTTTCCTCTTACAACAATAACAACAACAACAAAGAATAATTTCTATGTAAATAGTACTCGGTGTATACGCTTTCTTTTACGTTTTTGTTAACCCGTTTCTTCTTTTCATATACAAATGTACTATATGATCAATTTTGTATTGTTTGTATTTGTGAATAAATAACGGAAGAACTAATGAAACGTAAAGTTTATTCGACGATAAATATCGGAATGAAGAGTTTTTCGAGACAAATTAGTGTCTGTTCATAATTTTTTTTTCCTCAAATATGGAGGCCTATATACGAGTATCTGAAGTTACAACTCCCAGGGAAGAGCCCTTTTTTTAGCATAGCACCTTTCCGGCACCCAAAACTACCGACTTAGTCTATCAGTAACGTTCTTGCTTCGTAAAATTCAAGTTGGTGAATGGGTAAATCTGTAAAGGGATTGAATCCTCAAGAACTTCTCTTGGGATTATTTTGCTTCCATTTGAATCAAAAGTAAAATATTATTGTCTTCTTAATAGTATGATGCAAATGAAACCAAACTTCCTTCTCCAAGTTTATTCGTAGACAAAAGGTTCCATGCAATGTGTGATTCGATCCCACTACCTTACGTTTTGCAAGACAGTACCTTAGGGCACCTTCCAGTACCGTAATCGATACTAGGTGCTACGTCCCCTCCCCTCTCCTGTACAATTCGCTCGTAATCTAAAAACTTTGTTTTCCTAAATGAACTTACTACGGATTGAACACTCCTCGAATTGAGCACTCAGCATTATACGAGCAACAAAAGTAGTAGTATAAACCAGAATACAACATTTAACAACTCATCGTTGGATATTATTTGATGAACGTGTAGGATTGAGGTAAAGGACATAACAGGAAGCTAACCCAAAGCAATACTAGATTGGATTCAGGCCGAATAATTTTATCATTTTCAAAATATCTTAAGGAAGATATTAGAATACTTTTCACCAACAATCTTCACTAATCAGCTTAACTGCGGTTGATGTTAAAATATTATCTGTAATTTGCTGTTTACTTGACTTGTGCTTATATCTCTCTCTCTCTCTCTGCTTCAAAAATGTAAAGTAACTTGATTCGTTAGTTTTGATAATTTGTGAGCATGTATAACTTGATATTCTCTGCTAATTAGTACTAACTTTGGTTGTGGATTTTTCTAGAGATCCGACCTATGAAGTTGGATATTAGCAAAATATATACATTGAAACATATCAGATTCAAAAGGAGTATCATAAGTCACCTAAAAATCGAGCGAATTTCGGAGATTCTAGTGAGAAAACACGTGATACTGGTTCATTTTTAGGGCAATGCTTACAATTTTTTTAACGTGATGGTTCCACAGAATTGCATGGATGCGGATTTCTGTCCCTCAGAGTTCCATTACATCTAAGTATGATAAAAAGAGTCTCTCTACACATTACAATGAAAGATTGAAGTGTAGAGCAAGTTAGTATACGGGAAGTCTCTGACAATCCTATTTCTTAGAGACTTTTTGAAACTCATGTAAAATATTACAACGAGTAATCACAGGATAAATAGTGATGCAGATTCTGAAAGTAGAGAGTTCACGCTATATGCTGATATTCGAGGCGTGCACAGGGCACTTTTCGACCTGTCCTGTCCTGTCTAAGGAATGATTTATAAAACAAGTTTCTTCCTACCTTGCCCTGCAGGACGAATACCAGATATTTACCTTTTTTCTCGAGAAAGTCATTATAGAGTTTTTTCTGTTTTCTTGTAATTTGTATATCTGATTCTTCAGCTTTGTGATATTGATACACATGCTCATCACATAACAATTCAATAAAATAGGGATACATGAGGATGTACAGGAAAATGAATACTCTTGTGAACCAAAAAACATTCACTACTATCTAGAAGTAATTAAAAACTTCTAGAAAGAGTTGTTGAAAGAAGAAACCTTCATAGCTATCATTCTTATTAACTAGATCAGGATTCCCAACTCTATCTATATTAAAAAATTAGCTAATCACTCAGTAAACATCAGAACGACTTCAAGATTTCAGAATGTGGAGTATTTAAGCTATTCTTTATCCTGTTTGTAGGAAATCTCAAAAGAAATTTCACAAAACCCTAAGGTTTTACAAAAGTTTTTCTGGAAAACCGAACTCCAAAACTATGCTTTTTCTAATTTTTCGATTGTACGATCGCGTTTAGTGGAAGAAATTAACCATATCCTGAAATTTTGAAGTCGTTCTTGATGTTTACTGAGTGATTAGCCAATTTTTTAATATTAGGTGGAAACAGCCTGAAAACGCAAATTTTCGTAAAACTCGCTTTTCGGTAGAATCTTAAAACTTTTCTAGAAACAAATATTGCCACGAGATACAGCGTGGTTGATTACGCATAGTTCATCCGTCTTGAAGGCTACCAATCGTCACTGGGTGCCAGTCCTGGGATTCGTAGGAAATCCAATACAACGCCCGAAGCGCAAAAAATCAAGATCTCACTTGACTCTCAATTTGAAAAGAACACCCTGGCTATCAGTCAGTGAAAACAAATCAATATAATCCTATTGGAAAATTTTTACACTCGAGCTAGTTTTCGAAAGATCCCCTAGAAAACCTGTTTCAGAAAGCTCTTCTGGGAAAAATTTTGGTTATGAAAACATGTCCCCACGTCTCATCTTTCGAATGGTGAAAATTGGAGCTCTTTAGCTTTTTCCTATCAGAAGTTATTCAAAACACAGTCATATACCATTCTTTTTTTGGATCGACAATAGGTTACTGAGCATATCCTTAAAAATCCTAGATGGTTCAGTAGCAAATTTTTCCGATTGAAAACGGTTGAGAACTTGCAAAATATGACAAAAATTTCAAAAAGTATATCTGTTTATTCAACAAAAAGTCAATTGTGAAAGGTAATGTGCGAGTGAAAAGTGACAGTCAACATGTACTGAGTGTTTCCTTCTAATCAAATCAGAACTGAATAATTTTGCTTTTCGTATTCCAAAAAACGAAACCACAATAAAAACCCAAACATGTGCTGCAGAAAAAAAAGTGAACATTTAATGTTGTTAAATGTGTCGTGTAAATAATTTAAGTCTGTGCAAGTAAATAGTGTCAGAAAAATTTCAATATTATTGTTATGTTTCTGTTACTTTTTATAAATAATAGCGTTTTTATTATCCTAGGGAGAGTATATGTTATATACAGTTTTAGCCAAATTTTGTTTATAGAAGGGTTGTTTCATGCCCCTTCTGTAGTAATAAACTATGAATTTAAAAATATTGAGTAGATAACTAAAACTCAGTCGCATGATGTAAGTTGTTTGAGTATGTCATATTCAGTGATATTACTACCTTAGTGGAAGTACACATACGATTAGCACTAAATACTAAAGATTTTTCCAATGAGTACTAAAATTAGTACTAACGAAAAATACTTAGTATGCATGCTCATTTACTAGTAATTTAGTACTACTGTTAGTACCGTAAGAAAAGAATTACTAAAATTTTTTAAAATGAGTACTAAAATTAGTACCAACGGATTACAATTCATCGTTCACCGTTTTGTTTTGCGATCAGCCGACATATATAGGCACAATCGAAATATCAAACAGATACCGTTTTTTTTTCGTTTTTTTTTCAGTTTTAAATGATCAGTTTATTTTAGACTTCTAACCTTCTTTAGATTAAGTCTCACTGGGTAGCCAAGTCTCGCCTTGGGCTTAACCAAAATTTTCTCCCAGACACAAGTCTGAGTAGCGGGCCTAGGCGGGGCATAGTTCCCGCTTAAGCATAATACTTAAAAATCTACATGAAAATTTTAAGCTGACAATGGCGTCCTCGCTCGAGAATGGTAATCTAACGTTGGAAGCAGCGTTGTTTGGCCTTATTCGTATGTTTCCTGTTGATATCTGAGCGTTTTTAGCAAAAACGCATCAGCCAATCAGAAATCGCGTATTCGTACTATCGTTAGTATTTATCAAAAATATGCACGAGTACTAATCAAAAACTAAAAATACTAATGGTAGTACTAAAAAACTGTTGTATTAGTACTAAAGATTAGTACTAAAGATTAGTACTAATGTACTAAATCACTACTATTAGTACTAAAATACTAACGATTTTTTATTACTACTTGTGCATTACTAACGATGTTTGCTAAAGGTAGTACAATAGTTTAGTACTTGCACTAGGGATAAGTATCAGAGCCCGAAAGGAATCGAATAATTCGGCATTCGATTCGGCAAAAAGCTAAATCGGATCGAACCGAAAAATTTAGGACTCGAAAATGTTATCCCGAATCGAATCAAATCAGATTTTCCTGATTCGTTCCGGGTTCTGCTGAGTATTTAGAAAGAAGAACAGAGATTACAGCGCAGCTTGTTTAATAGGCATACTTTTAACTTTTGATTATTTGATGATTCATATCAAGAACAGTGGAAAAGAAATGTTGCACATAAATAACTAAAAGTTATGGGCATCTAACAAGCTGCTAGATAAACTTCTTTTCTTCTTTAATTTTTGTCCTTACGTAAATTTAATGATTTGACCTGTGCGGTTATTGTATAATACAAGCTGTCTATTTGAGTTTTTTTCTAGTAATGTAGATAGAGTATCGAAGATTGACAAACAGTCGGTAAACTAATTTAAAATCGAAGAAGCAATGATTTAAAGCGGCGTCGTGGAGCAGTACGAGCGTAGAACGAGTATGAATAAATTCGGTCAAAGAATTTTCTATCAAGTAAACGTAAGCTATATACATGAATAAGAATATAACTAAACAACAACGGCATCTGTATGTAATTCGAGTCCTTTGTTTCTAAAGTTGCTGTTATGTTTTTCTGTTGAGTTCCATTTTGATTGTCTCGATGAATAATTTGATTTAACGAGATCATTCGCTCGTTGTTGTTCATCTGTTGATGGAACATATGAAGGTCGACCCACGGTTAAAAGATTCTGAAAACGTTCTTCTGTACTTTCGTGCAAATGAGATTTTAATAGTTGCCTAGTGGAAAGGTTTTGTAGATCATTGAGAGACGTTAATTGCTGTTGTTGTTGAGGAATACAATTTTTTGAATTGAAGTGTATCACATATGTTCGTCGAAGTGTTGAAGAGGATGTTCTATTTTGTTGTTGGAGTGGTACTACAGTTGGAGGAAAGACGGTGATCGGGTGACTATTTGTTGTATTATAATCGTGTTGCGCCGTTGTATGATGAAGTTCCTCAGGCGTTTGCTCAGACGATCGATTAAGAGTAGCCATGCCATTTTTGATGATATATTCATTTGAACTGGCATCATCCATTAAATGTCTTAGAGATGCCGAACGTCTATTCGATGGACTATTATTTTTCATTGGAGAACGGTTATTGAATTGTTGTCTCAAGGATATGTTACGCAGTGTTCGCTGTCTGGAACTTGATGATAAAGATAAATCCGACGGATTATTAGTGTTTGTATTACTTACAAACGAATGTGCAGTAACGGACGAGGGATCAAAACGTTGATGATGTGGTTGCTGCGGACACATGTCATGAGCATATTGTAAATAGTCAGGACTGTGTCTGTTTGATTCACGAGAAAGTTCAGTGGATGAGTTATGCTCAATATAAAGGGTTTTTGGTGATTTTAGTGGATCACCTAATTTTTTTGCTGGTGGTGGAAGTTTCACCAATGGTTTTTCACGTGTCAGTACAAATTTTTTCTTTGTATTATTGCTATTGCTCTCATCTGTTTTCTCTTCAGTAATAGACACGTCATTATTGATCGATTGATTGATTTCGGGCAAGTGAGATGAAGTTCGTGGAGATAGTTTTTCTTTCTGATTAGCAATTGTATCTAATTTTTTTACAGTAATATTATCTGTTAGATCGTATTGTTCGCATAGTAATTGTTGTTGTTGTTGAGTTTTAATTTGTCTTGATGAGGGTCGATATAAATTCGTTTGTGTAGGGATCGTAACAATCGCTTGGTGTTGTGACTGTTTTTGTTGCTTTTTAGAATGTTTTCCAGATTGTTTATCATTTGAAGAATCTTCGTAAAAATTTACTTTATTATAATCAGCAAAATAAACGCGTGGTCGACGAATCTCAGTTGGTCGTACCTGCTGTACAGACTGTTGTACACCAGGGGTTTGTGATTGTTGATTCAATATGAGATGATACTCAGGAAATGGAGTACGCGTGCCTCCGTTCATTTGACGTTCTTGTTGTTGATGTTCAGCCGTAGTATCGATTGCGGCTGAATTGCTGTTTGATTGCTGTGGTGTAGTGCGATTTGTATTTGACAATGCAGTGCCTCTAGAGAAAAAAAAGCACTTATCAAATCGATCAAGTATTTTTTTGATAAATCCTTCGTTTATTATAATTTTAGTCTACAATACATTACTGGTATAGGACTTGTCTACTGAAAAATAGTTTTCCACAAGTCTATCTGTCTGGATACCATTCTAGGTATAACTGAGCAGTAGAAATATTTCATGGGCAGCCTATTAAAATATAGACTAATTCTTATATAAATAATTTAATATCGAAAACTTTTATAACTTAAGGTTAATTGAGTTGATTTTACAATACAAGAGTAGAGAAGGTGATTTCAAGAGTAACAGTCAAGATATAAAAATATTTTTCCTTTTAGTTCTGTTTTTTATAAAGAAATTCTACTCAGACGACGAAGTGCCCAGCAGAACAAAATTGATCAATAAATGGACAAAGTATACGAAAATAGCAGAAAACGAGGTCCACCAAATTCTATGATAAAAACAATAATAAACTCATTCTATTCACTCGATAAGCGATAGCAGATGGATCATTATAGGGTTTATACGTTCAAAAAGTTCTATCTTGGAAGAATGTACAAGAATGTTTTTTTTCCAAAATCTTGGTTTTTAGACTGGCCACATTGCACCCCCCTCCCAAATTTTCATGCGATCGGCGTCAAATTTTATTCATAGGTAACTTGGCAGATACCTTGGCTGAAAACTCAACAGTATTTTTTTGTTTTTCAATAGTATTGCTTCGCTCAAAAATCTTTTATAGACCTTGATTCAAAAATAACACAACTTCGAAACATTTTTTAAAAAAATTAAAAAAAGCTCTTAGTTATGGTCTCAAGTATCTATAATAGATATTTGAGCCCGATCGTATGGAATTATAGTGAGATCGTATCGTGGCCAGATGGAGAGAAGTCGAAAAGAAAAAGATTTTGCGAAAAACTTAAATAATATTCACCACTGAAAATTCCGAATTTCTGCAAATATTTTTCAAAAAACAAAATTTTATAGACAATCGACTATTGTGCGTCTAACGGAAACAAGCAGGCACATGTGCGGCCGTATTTCATGCAAAAAAATACATTCTCAGACACAATAAAAAATTTTCTAGGTCTTTTGACAAAATAGACATGTCTAAAGGTAGTCTACTATTGTATGAGAACGTGTGTATTATGGAATATACATAAATGTTCGATTTTTTGGTCGAAAACGACGGGAGGTGTATCCTTAACTCGTTCACTTTCTAAAATATAAAAGTTCTGTTATCTACTAACTTGAGCATCCCAGGTAATGATTTTGCTTTCTTAATCTGTCTATCGATAAACATTTTTTTTGATATAATAGTATTTTCTAATATATTCTGTTGTTTAACCTGATGATGTTGTTGTTTCAGGTATTCAGAATGTTGTTGTTGTTGTTGTTGTTGTGATAATAAATCAAATTGAGTTGTATCCATATCCGAAACGATATTAATTTCATTAGCTATTGTGGTATAATCTGTCTGATCCAACATTGGCGTGGTAGGATGAATACTTTGTCCACCAAAATTCATGTCTCGTTTTCCATTTGTAGTCTGGTATGAGTGATGATGATGTGAATGATCCATACTCAGTCCGTTGATATGTAACCAGTTGGGTAATTTGGATGTCAGATGATAATTTCCTTTATCGTTTAAATTCGATTTATCGAGTAGAGGCTTCAGTGTACTTACTGATAAACACATAATAAGAAAAATATTAGGACTATGAGAATATCAAGTTTTCTTTATAATGGCGAAGGAGAAATGTATCAATAAATAAGTGCGTGTTTCGTTTTTTAATTCTTCTCTCTCTTCCCTGTTTCTCTCTTTTCACGATTTCATTACTTTCATAAACATTTTTTAATTCATACTTCACTTCGTAAAAAAAAAAATATGCATATTATGCAAAGAAGAAAAGAGTTGAATATATACATATTTAAGAAAAACATACATATTTTCAAATAAAATTTCGTTCGTTTGCCTGTTTCCATTTTTCTCTACTCTTTTCTTCTTATTCTACTGTGTTTTAAAAAGCATCTCGTGAAATCACTTTAAAAACTGAAGAAAAAAAATCCAAAATTCATTTTACTATTTAAGTACTTTCAGTAGTAGTCATAGGTAAACTGTTGTTAGGCATCTCGATCATCTATCTAATTGCATATATTGTTTATGTATGTGATTGATTGATTGAATGAGAATCATGTTATGGATGAAAAATGTAAGTGTATGTCATAGAAGATCATTCATGAAGGATATACACGTAATGTAGGAACGGATGGTTTGTCAATGTTATATAAGGAATTCAACGATGACATTGATGGATAAGTCAAACATAGTCTTTCTAATAAATACGTTTACATATATAACAATTGTCATACTGGATATAGTATTGATTTCAATTGTGTACATATAGTAGCTGAATAGATTTTGTCTATTCTTTACGAAAACACTCAGATTGTTGACCTTTATTGAAGAGCAATTTAAGGATTTAAGGAAATTTTGTACAATGAAAAGCAGAGAGTCGTATACTGTTTATAACTGATTTCTTTTATTTCTGATCCAAAGTGCGCATCATAAATAGTATTCTTGTTCTATTTTAAGTACCTTCGCATCTGTTTCGTTATTAAAATTAGAGGGATTCCTCGTTAATTAGTTTAGTCAGTTAGTTATCCCTCATAAATCACCTGTGGAATAAGTAAAACCTGTACATGGTGGAAAAACACCATGAAAATCATGACGGCTCTTATACACTGTTTCTCGCAGTCAGGGTGGCACGGTTTTAGTTCTCAGTTTTGGTTTTTCATGCTTTAAAAGTTTGTAAAAGGAGAAAGTTCACAAAACAGGCATAATTTGCCGAAACATGCGCTGGAAGACCACTTCTATTTCGAAACATGTGGTTGAATTGCTCTTGATACTTGTCGGCGGTTAGACTCATCCATATGTGTTTCAGATAACACATGGAGTCGGAATAGATTTGGTTGGAGTTTTTTGCAGACGAGTTGAAGAAAAATCTTTTTTGCAAGTTACTTATAAGCATAAGGATATGACTAATTCGAAAATATCTCTGCTCAGGTCTTTTCCGTTACCGAGATAAGAGACATTATTTCCTAAAAACTGACTCTTTATTGCTCCAAAGGCAAGATTTTTTGGTGAAATTGATTACTTAGGCAGCTGTAACTTTGCACTTAAATTCTCTGGCAGTTGTAATTTTATAGAAACGTCTTCCATGGGTGGGGAGAGCGCGCAAATTTTTCAAATTTTGGACTTTTTCCATTTTTAACCATGTCGGACTTCTAATTGTTTTCACGATTTCTACCAATAAAAACTACAACAACATCTGGCAACATGTTTCTATACTGTACTCGAGCTACTTATGGTTATTTTATTCATAAAGATATGATTATAAGTGGCCGGCAGAAAAGGTAGTTATTTTACGGATAATGCCTCCTATCTCGGTAACGGAAAAGACCTGAGCAGAGATATTTTCGAATTAGTCATATCCTTATGCTTATAAGTAACTTGCAAAAAAGATTTTTCTTTAACTCGTCTGCAAAAAACTCCAGCCAAATCTATTTCGACTCGATATGATATCCCTTCTCCCTGTCCAAAGTGCCAATTTTACTCTCTTATCTGCCTGGCTAATGCTCTTTACTGAAAATGCCTGAGCGCCTTTTGGAATAGACTTGTCGAATATCCCAATACTCGCTCTGTTTAACTTACGTTAGCTAATTGGGAAGACTTTCTGACATGCTAACGACTGAAATTGCACATTTTTCATGAATTTTGAATCTTCGATAAAACCGTCAACTAAAAGTACGGGTAACTCTTTCACGCTCTTTTTCTTCACGCTTTTATTTTTATTGTTTTCCTTTGGCAGACCGTCAGTTCACGATTTTATTTCTGCATTTTTGAGCTTTACGGTATTTTTTCATAGTTTTAATTTCACAGTTTCTCACACTGTTGGTTTTATTTCAGAGTTTTCCTTTGATGGTTCGAAAGTGGATGGTTTTGTTTCTATGATTTTAGCCTTTACGGTTTTACTTCCATAGTGTTTCTTTTATACTTTTGGATTTCACGATTTTGCCGATATAGTTTTCTACTTCATGATTCGTCTATATGGTTTTCTTTCGATGATTATGGATTTCACGGTTTTCTTTCAAAGTGCAGTTCAAGTTTTTAAGGCTTGAGCTGTTCTGTAACGAAAAAGCGGTTGTAATTTAGTTAGTATCGTTTTAGAAACAATTACTTACTCTAAAAGAAGAATCCGTCTTACCTCTGTATCAGCGTAACTTTTCTTCTTTCGTCTTATTTCAAGGCAGATAACTTATCCGTCTTATTTCTAAGACCGAAGAAAAGGCCTTATTTTTGCCGTCTGAAGTACCAGAAATAATCACTCATCTCTTTTGTTTCGCATCGACTACTTGTATATAAAGCACAGAGGATTTAATGAAATACACTTAAAATGTTATCATTCTTTTCTTAAAAAATATTAACAACAGCTAGACTGACACTAGTGGCCCCCTCGGATGAGCTTATAGCTTAACATTCGGACTACTATGAAAACTAAGACAGATAAATTTATCGATCTTAAAATAAGACCTCATAAGTTGGTTGATGACTAGACCCATGCATAGATCTCAAAATAAGACCTTTTGATCGATCTTGTCATCTATCTTATTTTGAGGCCTATGTATGGGTCTAATCGTCAACCGACTTATGGGGTCTTATTTTCAGACACATTTTTTTAGAGCTGTATTAGGATTGTAGTTAAATAGAATCACGTTGCACTCCATACAGACCATTCTTAGTAGGTTTCCATTTTTGATTTTCAATCATATTTTCAAAAAATAATTCCAAATCTTATTTTCTACTCACGCTTATTATTACCAAAGACGAAATATTGCATGATGACTTTCTCTCTTTCTGTTTCTCATGTCTATTTGAATTGTGAAAGTAAGTTTAATTAACTCGTTCAAAACCAAAATAATCGGTGATAAAATTCTATAAGATGATATAAACAGTGTCATGTTTTTCCTTTTAAATATTAGAATCATACCCCTATCAGTTCCCTCTTACTATTTACCATCTAACAAAACTCACCGTTTTCTCTTTTTTTTTGAAACCGATTGAACTTAATAAAGCGATCGCGCATCCCATCACGGTATTTTCTGAACAAATTCATAATGCCAACCGAATTCAAATGTCCCATTGACAAAATTCATCTTTATCTTAAAGTCTTAATTCTGCCCAAATTTTTTCAGGAAAGTCGAGAAATTTTCGTTTTTTTCTGACCTAACAGCTTTTGGCTGGAGATTAAATAGATTCTCATTCCAACCAATATTTTCTGTAAAAGACAGATAAAACAGCTGGGCATGGGCAGCAGAAAAAAATCTGACGCTACTTTTCTTTTCATCTTGACAGGAGACTGTCTGTGCTTTTTTATTAATGCGGTGCGAAGCAATTATAGTAATAAACTGCTTTCCTTTCTAGATTGAAAAAGTGTCATTTTCTGTAACAATTTTCTCGGGAACTAGAAGGGGTGCAGTAAAATTTTAAACGCGAATAGGGTACTATGTGTCTGAATTAATAAATAATTTATTTTCAGTCTTTGCATATGTTTCAGTGAAGAGTTAGGACGTTCGAAAGTACGTGATTTGAACGTCTGGTACTTGTAATTTTTTTTTCAAAAGACATCGATAATTAATCTGAGTCATTCATGTGCAGATGCATTTATAAGAGAGAATGTTCCCATACTATGTGATTCATTTCATGACAATGTTTTTTTTTAATATGTATTCAGCGAATAATTAACGCAACGCCTAGTCTCTAAATGCATTACTGTTTTAAAGATGATTAACTCAGTATGTAACATAAAATCTCTAGGCTATGATAAAGGTTAAAGCTTTAGAGTAATAAATTATTATTTGAACCTCACAACTCTTTCTGACTTCAGTAATCAAAACATTTTTTTTGTTACGCAGGTAATCTACACTTTCCTCATCAGTTATGTGGTAAGACTGCTGTATGTTATTAAACAAAATCTTCACCTCTGGTTATCATATTTAGCTGCTTCGCACCGCATTTGCAACTCGCACTGGCGTGATTGCCGCTTAGTTAATACTGTGGTTGGATGTCTGCTAGGTTTGATGAAAGAAATTTTGTCGTTTTAAGGTGAGCGAATGAACTTTAAATTAAAATTGTATTATTAAAACTGAATTTTAATTTCTTTTGTCTAGAAAAATATCAGTCTCTCTCTCTCTCTCATCATTGATCACTATAAATTAACAAATATTAAAGGTTCAATCATTTGAATGTTTTGAACTTTGATAGAGTAGTAGACGGAAAGAGAATATGATAATATTCGAATCACAAAAACGAGCCTTTGTTCACACATTGTGTTCATCTTACGTCGATACAGGTCTATTTGAGTGGAATACGATGAACCTGTTAAAAAAATATCTATTTATTTATTTTTACTCTTATCAATGAACTTTGCGTATTTAAAAAAAATTTATGTTATAGCGAACCAGACAGAAAATTTAGCTACAGATCATTTTCAGTTCAGAACTATTAAAAGAGTGAATCTAATTATTCTAAACAATGGAACTGCTGCATTAACAATTAATTTGTTATTTTTTATTCTCAAATATGCATTAATGCGTTAATACGATCAATCGACACGTATATGATCCATACCGTTGTGTTACGAAATAAAATAAAGAAATCAAATGAAAAAACAATAGCGTAGCATACTTGTACTGTTAACCAAGTCATCCTTCTTCAAAAATCTCTTCAAAAGTGAAGTATGTAATGCATAAGATGTTACATGACTGTTGAAAACTTCTCGTATACTAACTCACTTTACATTTTAATGACTCTTTCTTCAAATGTATAAATATGTTTAGTGTGCTATGTGATCAGATGGAAAAGATGAGCTTTTCAATAAAAAAACAAAAGCTTTTGTTTAAACTCAAAACTACCATCTAAAGAATTCGTATTTCTAACAAAAAAATGCAGAAAATAAGCACATATTTTTTTGTTGATCATGTCTTATCATTTCATGGTCTACTCTTAATATAGCCTATACATCCCGAAAGTTTAGTTAAGATTTGATAAATCACATGGGATACTGTATTCCAATAGAGTGACTCTTAACCCTTTACACCCGCCGATCCCTTCCAAGGGGCGTTGGTATAATAGATTTATAAAAAGAACGGATCATCAGCCAAAAGGCTAGATTATCACTAATGTAAGACAATAGAGTAACTTAACGTTTGATCGAAAAAAGAAAGAAAAATTTCCATCTTAATCCGATATTTTTGAATTTTAAAATTGAATGAAGTTCAGAAATGAATTTTTGTTTTTAAATATTTTCTGTACTTCTAGCCACTAAACCATTTTCTAATTTTGTATTTGATAGTTTTGGTTGTATGGATGTACTTTATAATGAAATAAAAGAAGAAATTTTTTTAACATTCTCCTTTGCGTAAAGGTGCTGTGAATTCACTGTCTCTTGGAAGGGATATTCGGGTGTAATGAATGATGACATGAGAAGTGAATTTTTTTAGCTTGACATCTTATTAGCGTGGATCATTCTGTGATCACTCGCTACACATCTGAAGATCAGTGAATGAAGAAAAAAGATGAAGACTAAGAACTGTAAGCTTCAATGCAGTAGTTATTTCAGCTGCAGCTATAATAAAAGTGTCTTCGGGTGTAAAGGGTTAAAAACAGTACTGAAAGCCTACAAATGACTATAAAGAATAGAAAAAAAAATCAGTGTTGATGGCATCTCTTTAATTTTGACACTTGCTCGAATACACGTGCACATGACAGGTTTCAATTTGATGAATGATACAATATAAAATGACAAGTTACTATTCGAAACTAAAGAGAAAAAACTTGTTTAATATAGAAACAATTCAAATTTTTTAAATTTATTTATTATAAAGCAATACGAAAGAAAATAACTCGTTTTGATCGTTCAAAAATGTAAAGATGTGAATAAGCTAATTCTAGATTATAAAATTCTTTGGAAAATATTTGATTATATAAAATGTATTTAAAGGATTATAAAACAGTAAAAAATTGATATATAGAGATTGTTCCTGAAACAAAACTGACAAAATAATTGCAATAAAAGGCTTTGTGTATATTTAATTTATGGAGAAATAATATGCCTTTAATAAAACTAAAGACATTTAGTGACCGTGTATTCGACAATAGGGTTTATTGTTTTTGACAACAAACGGTTGACCTTCTAAACTTGTTTGACACATCTAAAAAATAACAAAGAGTAATATGTATAAATATTGAATAAAAATTTGAAAAATAGTATATACTATCAAATTAAATTTAAGAACTTATACTAAGAGAAGTAATTTATCTTATATACGTACTGAACAATTAAAGCATTCCACATGATATGTACCACCCAATGATTCTACTTCTAAATATTTATCACCAGCTTCAATTGCAAAATCACAACTCGAACATTTAGATTGAAACATTCGACGATAATCTAAAAATAATAAATTGGAAAAATTTTATTTATTTTATCTATATATTGTTTCATAGAGTTTAGTAATATACCTTCTAAACAATACGGTTGTCCTTCTTCAACATGAAATGATCCTGTACCAATTAATTTTTTACAACTTGTACATACAAAACATTCTGGATGCCATGATTTTTCTAATGCGTGACAGCATTCCTTTAGAAAATATATATGTATATTATTAAAAACAATATTATATCCTAAAATAATTCTATTTTATTAGAGACTCACTTTAAGTATAGCCTGATTACACTTATGACATTTTGGAGCTAAAAATTTCTCAAAATCTGCTTCACAATATAATTTTCCGTGTTCTTCAACGAAACCGCATTCAGCTAAATTAGTTCCACAATTTGAACATCGAAAATGATCAACACACCATGTACGACCGATAGCTGTGATAAATGGACCTCTAAACGTGAATAATAATCCTGTAATGAATACTCAATGAGATAGAGTTACATGCATACCTGATAACAGTACCACATGAAGAGCATACGGGAATTTGTGAACCAGATGGAATTTCCTTAGTCAATAATGCACTCCCTTTGGCTCCTTTCATTAGAACTCGATTGCCTTTGTTTACTGGATTTATATCAACGTTAAAGGACGGCGTTGAAGCTAAATACAAAAAGAAGTAGAAAATGTACTCTCAAATCTCTGTTTTTCTATTACGTGTATGTGGTTGATATTGATTCGTAGAAGCAGGTGTTTGACGCGTAGTAGGTTTATTTGAAAATGATCGTGGAGAATTCGATGCAAATGATGGTTGTGATGATGATACATTATTGTTCATTGGCGATGGTTTTGACATGGCCTTTGTAGTTGATGCTTTAAATTCATTGTAACTATCAACAGACGAAATTCAATGAGTCTTTACATAGAGACGGATTCACCAGTTTACCTTGATGGTTCTTCGACTTTATACGGAGATGACATGTTCAAACTAGAAAAAGAGCAGAAAGAACGTTGAACTAATCGAAGAATGATGTGATGTGACTTCGATATGAGAAAGCATCACAAACGCAAATCAAAAATGTAAAACATGAGCAAAAATATTGAATAATAATTGAGACATGCCGCTATAGATAGATATATATATATGATATTATGACACAACATACAAATCAAAAATGATGTTGATGATATGAATAATATGTTCATTTATTACGGATTTTTATATTGAAGAAAAAATAATCCTAAAACAATAATTTCATTTATCAGTGTACTGAATGAGAAAACACAGTTTTAAACAAAGATGAAGTTGATATTTTATCGTAAAATACTAGAGATGCTGAAAATTGACAATTGTTATATAAGGCTACATATGTTCAAAGAAATTTATCAAATCTATTTTGTAATAAATCAATAGAACTCAATCTTGTTTAGGATATATAATAGAACAGGTAAAATTGTACTAACTTTTGAAATTTATCATTAATGTTTGATTCATTTCTCATAGTTTGTATTGGACGAAAACCGTTAGGTACTGTTAATGTCTTTTGTTCCCAATAACTGTAAGAAATAATATTTGATGAGTAATATGGCTGTCTTTTTCTAATAAAAAATATTCTTCCTACTTTGACGGTTGTGACATCGTGGTGTCGTTTTTTATTACATTTGATACAGTACCTATAGTTGAAACAAAAAATTATATCAATCAGTCTTATTTTAATAGTAAATCACATCTAATTACTTACCATCATCTAATCCTTTGAGTAATGCTCTAAATGACGGTCCTTGTCTTGCTTCATTTCTTATTTTATCTTCACAATTTAAATATTTTGATTGTAAATCTTCAACATTTTTTGTTCCATTACTAGGATTATTATTTAGACATTTAATGACATTATTCATGCAACGATTTGGAGAAGAATTTGATAAAGAATTATTTGAAGCGGATCGTGCTAATGATTGATAAGAGGAGGATGCGGATAAATTAGATAGTGAGGAATAATCACTGTCATGCAAATCATCACTACAAACAAAACACATTCCATACTCAAAATAATTTTAGAAAACAAAAAAAGGTTTCTACCAATGTTCGTTTCTTTCCCTGAATTCTATCAGAGAGCGCATCTAATTTCTACCATAGGTGTGTATACTTATTAGTTTACCTTTTTAATGTTCGATTGAGTGTATCTGTAACAGTATCAGCTGAATATAAGCCAATTGGTGTATTATGGGCTTGAGTTAATAAAGCCCGATTATTTGCAACAGGTAATCCAATCTGAAAAGAATACGATTTGAAAGAGATACTTTGGAATAAATTATGATTATTAATTTACCTGAGGAATAACTTTTTGTGGTTGCTGTTGATGATACGATGATTTTGGTTGATTCGACGTCATTAATTGATGTGGAGGAAATTCTAAATTGCTTGAATAGTCATTGTGATCAGGAGCAGCTCCACTAAATGATGCAATAAATTTTTAAGACTGTTGTAGCCATGGATGCATCAAATCCTAGGCATGTGCTAAACTCACCCAACTTTTATACTAATTTTAGCTGTAGTAAAAGTTTGGGTTTGTTGAGTTCCTAGTAGTAGTAACAACAACTGAAGGACATATTTTCATCCTACAACAGATGTTTATTTTCTCCATGCGACTTATCTAACAATCTCTTTTTCTACACAAAATATTTTTTTTTGTGCTGGGAGATTGTCTAATACTTCACATTTTTCTGGATATGTAACTTGTCTACCTTCTCCGTTTACTTTCCTATTCTTGTTAGACGTTTAGATTTTTTAGTCTTTTACTCCTTTTACTGTTTTACTGCACACATACCGTTGTAATGTGAGTTCTAAATTATTTTGTTGTCTCATAATACAATCTTGCGCATCTTGGTGTTTTAAATGTTCGGTAGATATTGACGATATTTTAATGATATAATCGTCTGGTTGTATACCACATCTCTCAGCCAAACTGCCCGGATTTATCTGAGAATGGAAAAAACACAAATAATTATGAATTACACAATTGAGTAGTAATACTGATACCCTTTGAATTTGTAATGGACTGTTAAATTCCTTTCCTCCTATACAAAAAGAGAGAGTTAGCATTAGTACAAGCTAAACTCCTTAGCACTTACCCGTCATCCGAAATCCCCATGGAGTGCTGGGTGATTCCCGCTGTAGTTTAACATTGAGAACAGTGTATGAAGGCATTTTAATTTATTCTAAAAGAAAAATGAGGCAACAGTGAAATACTTATATACATCAGAGAGAAAAAAACACGATCAAAACTGCTATTAAATATTAAAGGAGTTATTTATCATAGTCACTTTTCCTTGTGTAAATCAATAATAATTATATAAATTTGTGTCACGCGTTCAGCTTAATAACTGATTTTTGTTTCATCCTTCAAGTAATAGATAACTAGTATGTATATTATATGCACCTTAACCTTAAACGTAGTGTCTTCTATATAAAGAAAACAACGATATAACTAGATAGATATAGGATTGATCAAGTTCAAGATAAGTGAATAAGACAAATTACCCATTGTATTTCCTCTCTATACGCGAATATAACATATATAATATAATACAAAGAGCATGTAATTTGACAAATAACTGTCTTTTATATAAAATCAGACGAAAAATCAATTAAACTATTGAACTTACAAATATCTGTATATTCTGTAAACCATGAAGGATATTATGGGTGAAATCATTTAATAAGTTGTTATACAGTAGTAAACTAATCAATCTCACTTATGAAATCGAACAATGACTCTCTTTTTTCTTGACATTAATTATGTTAGTTAGTCAACAGGAAAAGCTTGATGTTCTTCTTGCAAGAGCTTACTCAGAAAACTTATTCTATAAATGTTTAATTTTGCATTGCCGTTGAGCTAATATTTCACATGTTCGAATATTTGTAAAAGATGCAAACACTAATTAAAATTTAAAAATCTATCAGACTTAAAACTGAGATAGTTAATCGATAGAACTCATCGATTTTGGTATACTAAAATCTACCAATAAGCAAAACAATCAGTTTTTTAGTCGTCTTTACAAATAAACACTCAAAAAAAGGTATATCAAGTTAATTTATATGACTATGTAGATTTTTTAATTAAAAAAGTCATGGTTTTTACGCTATATCTACAGTAAAAAAGCTTCTCTAGCTTCAAAGCTCTAGCACCATAAGAAAGCACGTGTCATTCTCTATGCTGAATTTTATTATCTGCACAAAACGACACTAATTAAAGAACGTGTATAGTACAGTAAAAGCTTTACATAGTATGACTCTCTTGTGTATAAAGATCACTATGCGTGAGATAACTAACTGAATGAGCAGCTAATTTCTGTTATTGTAGTTTTTGTGTGATGCTTTTTTCTCAAAAAGATCTAGGATGTTTCCTTCTGTCTTACATAGTTACATACAACTTATATCATATTCGTATGTTCTGTTTTCAATATTTGTAGAAATATATAATAAATCGTTCTCTATTTAATGCCATTCCGTATAGATGATAAAAAATTTGGAAACATCGATTCTCTTGTGGTACATGATATGTCTGTACATCCTGACTTTGAAACTAGAGAATCTAAACAGTTATGTAAACTAACCTGATGTAATGTTTTTTGGATGTTTATTTGTAAAGATGGCTAAAAAGCTGATTGTTTTGCTTATTGACGGATTTTAGTATATCCAACGCGACGAGTTCTATCCATCAACTATCTCAATATTTAGTCTGATAGATTTTTGGATTTTAATGAGTGTTTGCATCTTATCTCTCAGTAAATATTTTTTTGAACGCTATGATGTAGACGAAATTCAACATTTACTGAAAATTCCTGTTTGAATAAAGTTGAATATGACCTATTATAACATATGTAGAGAAAAATCTGTTAATATGTATTTATAGTGTGTACTCCTTCTACAACATAAGTTCTAATTATCAAATTCATTTTAAAAACGTATTTGCCAATTAAAACTCACCTTCTTGGAAAAATCAGGTTATAATTTAGTTTAAGTCTTTACGTTCAAACAAATATTCCCTTTGACATTAAGTTTCTGACACTCTCTGACAACAAATATGATAATGACATCTTCTCTATAATTAAGAATCAACCTCTTATATTTTATTTAAGCATATGCTATTGACAAAAGTATGTACTTCAACTATAAAACATCATGGGTTATAAGCCACACAATGTTGATTTCGTTTAAATTGTTACATGAATTGTTAATATTTACTCATGGTTTTGTTTCAATAATGCTTACTTTTAGATAGATATTCGGATATTAATTATACTATTCTTCTTCCACACAGAATGATGTCGACCTTCAGGAGAAAAAAAAATTTCTCAATGATATCTTTACGCACACGCGTTTACTTTTTTTCCTATACGGTACCACTACTTGAAAAAAATAATAAATGTATTATTCTCTTCTCTCTTTTTTGTTTTTGTTCTTTCTTTTCATCGTCTTTGGAATAGGCCAGCGTGAGTCTTAATGACATTCGTCATATTTTTGTTGTTGTTGTGTAAAAAGTCAATTTGTTGTCTTATTCACATCGCAAAGAAAAATAAATTTACCAGAAGGAAACGACATATATTGGTCTGTTGTTGTGTCTACTTTCTCTCTACTCATGAAAACTTATTCTTAATCATAACTTTTTTTCCTTTTTTTTTGTTGACTAATAATAGAACCAATACGGAGAACAGCTTTTTCACATCAACAAATATCTTCTTTCACACACATCTATGCCATATTGTGAGTAAAAGGCAAAGATGTGTAATATGAAATTGTTCGCTAATTTTACTCTTGCAGATAATGAGACAATAATAAGCACGATAAAAATGATAAAAGTTCATTTCTCAATACTGCTTTTTTACGTCACTCACTATACCTAAAATGCAGTTCATTATGAAAACAGATTTAATTGAAAGGTTTCCCTCGTCGATGTTGCACTATGGGTACCTATTTGGCAAAAAATCGAAAGTGCACTTTTTCCGGATTGAAGAAGGGAAAAATATAATCGCATATATGGGCTATTTATTGCCGAAAAAGTTTTTGTTCCAAATGCTAAAAATTATGGAAAACCACCTGACCAAAATTTTGACTGGAAATACAGGTACGTGTCATCGCTAGGTTTTTCGAGTAAAATATGTTTTTTCTTCGTCTATGAACATATTTATTAGAAAAGAAGGTGATATTCGGAGTCAGCGCAAAAATTGCTTTTGCTGATATATAAAATGGACTTTTTCAATTGAAAAAATTTGGACTAGGTTCCTCTTCAAGGGTTTTTGTCCAAAAGAAATTTTTTTCTGAAACATCCTTATTTTGTTGAATACTGTTTCCTAAATGATAGAAAGTGGTTTTCATGCAAAAGAAATTCCATTTTTTGACCAAAAAGTCTCATATTCGCCTGCCTAAGTCAAAAATAGACACTATGTGTTGTACAACACACATATTACTTGTTTCTATTTCAAAATATTGTCATACTACTTATCTTACTTTTGCTGTATTCTTTATTGACTCACATGGTTTTGAATGAAAAATTCATAAGCGTAGGATGATTTATTTCCATATGATAAGTTGTACTGCATGAAAGCTAATACTTCATATTAATAAGAAAAGAAAAACACTAATAATACCTTGGGTAAATGTATTAATCATTCTCTGTTGACAGATCATCTTGCTCACACTTGGCAAAATAAAGCGAATTTGAATCTGAAAAACGGACAGATAATATGTTTTCAACTTCTTAATACTATAGAGTAGCGTCCATTAATTTATCTTCGAATGCTGTAATCAGAAAAATATTCACTCTTTCTGGAATAGCTAACTATTTCCAACACTCAGACAACGTCCCAGAACATTTTTTCTCAACTCGATCCGTATACATGCCTTACGCTAACAGCTCGATCCGGGGAAAAAGCATAAAACTTCCAGATCGATCCATATGGGCCAGGTCTTGTTTCATGTAGCTCCGATTGCATCCAACATATAAAATGTAGATTATTATGAAAATACAGAAAATATTAAAAGCGCAGGATATCGACGATATACTGGCGGACTGTAAATTTAATGAAGCATAAAATCCGCTGACATTCTTGATATTATTCTTTAATTGCTTTTTTTTATATAATTACAGTTGAATACGTTTCCTTCGTCATAAACTTTATTTATTTATTTCCAAACGTTTCGATTGACTAGTTCCATCGTCATCAGTGGATACAAACAATTAATTTAATTAAATTAAAATACACACATTGAACAAAATTTCTTTTTTAATATAACATAGAGATCTTTGATATGTATCTTTGACAGTAGATAATAAAAAAACTATATCGAGACAAACATCTTTAACCTTTCCTCTTTATACTATCTCTTTCTTCTTTTCTTTTACAACCTAGAAAATTCTTGCTTATACAAGTTATATGTAGAAAATGTATATGTTAAGAAGAAATTTCTTTGGACTTAACCGTAAAGATAACTAATATTAAAATTAAAATGAAATCAAAAACTCTGAAAACTCTTATATCGATTATATCCATTATTAGCTATTGTGTACACTATTTGCTAACTTTTTCCTCCAATTTTAATGTTTTTCAACATTTTGTTCAAAATTAATTAAACGTTCTGGACTAATCTCAGAATATTGAGCTAATTCGGAACCTTGTATATCTCTATTGTATTTGATTTTACGAATATGTTCACATATAGGTCGTCCAGATGAACATGTTTCTCCAGCAGAGATATTTCCACATTCGCAAGAAATCACATATATAGCGTCCTCTCCTGATATACTTTCTCTTATTTTATCATCATTTCTTGCAACTCATTTCGCTTTATTTAACATCAAACCTAAACTATGATTAAGAGTTGTATATACTTTCACATCAAATTTTGCCAGAATATGCCAGAGTTTTTCGGTTACTATATATCTATATGAAATTATCATCACATAAGGTTGTGTATCGTCCTTTTTCTCATTTTCGGATGTTTTATTAATTTTCTGAAATTTTTTTTTTCTACCACTCGTTGTGGACAAACGCTGCTATTTAAAATTTGTTTTAATTCTAACATATCTCGATCATTTTCCTTATTATTATTATTATTATTACATATTGTTATTCTCTTAACCACATCTGAAATTATATTTTGCTTCATGGCGTAACTATGATCTAAATCAAAGTTTAATACTTTCAAACTAGTCGTTGGTTTTCGATACTAACTAGTTTCTATTGGTTTACTTATTTGATTTATCTGAATGTTGACATCTAAAAAAGCCATCTTATGTTTAATTTCATATTCAAAAGTAACTTGTAAATCAATTTTACTGTTTAAAGCATCTTTTGACTGTTGAATTTTCACTTTATCCATTTATGTAACTAACAATATACCATCGACTTATCTTGTCAATCTAACATAAGAATACTTTTAATAATCCCAATTATAACACAAAAATTCATTTAAAGCTATGTCAGCTAAAACCGGTGATATTGAGGAACCCATTGATAAGCCTTTAACCTATTTATAAAAAGAAAATTTTAAAAGTTCCTGTGTATTAAAAAAAGAAATAAAAAAGAAATATTGTTCAATTTGTGTATTTTAATTGTTTGCATTCACTGATGCCGATTGAAGTACTATCCGTCCCAAAATACAAGACCAGCGGTTACTTTTTGAATAATTCAAAAGAAATAAAAGATAGAAATCTTGCGGTCTTATAGATATATAGTCCGACGTGTCCTCTACAAAACTGGATCCAAGTGACATCGTGGAAATCCATGATTCGGAAGCTATGGACGTTTTTCCTGAAGTCTTAGTATTTCTCTACTGGTAGGTTTGGGACTGTCAGAAATGAATGAAAATATAGGTTATCGACTATGCTAAATCTCGTGGCAATGTTAGTTTTCAGAACAAACTGCAAGAACCGAGTGAAAATCTATACTAAACGAAATAACCCATTTTATTATTTTTATTAAAAATCAAAAAATTCATAACTCAGTTGAAATCCATCCGACCTACTTCAAAATGTCAGGAAATACTCTATTTTATCCACTCATTTTGATTCTATACGTAAAATCAATAAAAAGTATTCTCTTAGTTCCGGAGGTTCCTGCGAAACCTTTCTAGAAACCAAAGTATTTTCTGTTGGTTTTCTCAACATTTATTGAGCTTTTCGGTATGCTGCAGATAAAATCCTCGTCCGAAACTGAATCATTAATCAGACGCATAAGAGATGTCATAATATGATCTTTTAAGAACAGATAGTTGACGGGTGAAGAACGAGAGATAAAGGTGAACTAAGTACCTTTCATTATTTTTGCTAATAATGAACAGTATTGAAAATGATAGAGACTAATAATACAAGTTCAATTGTACAAACAGTCATTTTGTTGGAAATATCTATAATGTTTGTTTGAACTTAACTACAAAAAAGTCAAAATAATAATTGTAATTATTCAATATTCATAATTAAATGTTCTATTTAAAAATATAAGCAATTCATATTATTTCAGTATTGTTCACTATTTTTAAAATTTTCAATTAAAATAATTATGAAATAATCACAACATTTAACATACATATTTCAATTAGAAAATATACCATTCATATTCAATTCATCACTGATTTTAACAAGTATAATTACTGTTAAGTTGTCGACTATTCAAACTGATACTTTCCATTTCATACATCTTACCATGAACAAAAGAGAGAACACAAGCAACGATTCTGCGTCAGTGTCATATCCTGAAGCAAGTATAGTTTTTTTATTCCCATAGAGAGTGCACATTCTTTCAACAAGAAGTAAAGTGAATAAAATCATAAAACTATTTTATACAGATTTGATTTTTTCTATTAGAAATATACTATGATGATGTATGAAGTCTATTTTACAACTTAATTTCTGATTTCTAAAAATTAATATCAATTTTATAACTACGTTCTCTCACGGAAGAAGATGTCTGTTTATATCTAAAATGCGTAATCAATACAGTCGAATGCATATGTTTTGTATAAAATTGAGAAAAATCTATGCATGAGAGAAGTATCACAGACTTGTCCATATTTGAACTTTTAGAAGTGGTAGAATATGCTCCATACATCACCATGACATTTTTCTGTTTGTAGGAAAACAAATAAAATCTGTATAGAGAAAATGTATGACTTTATTCGCCTTATTAGCTCTATTTTTTGTTTTCAAATTGCTTTTAGTCAATGTTAAAGTATTAAAAAGATATTCTCGCTGTCACTTACCAGTTTAAATGAAATTTTCATTTTGTTATTGCACACAAAAAAATAATACCATCTCTATCAGTGTCTTCTTGTTTAATTTGTGAAAAATGCAACGAATTTTCACTGTTTCCGTCTTGTTGTTTTTCTTGCATTCTTTTCTTCACGATTTGTTGTAATAGTAAATGATCCACAATAGAATCGAGACTTTTTTTCTTTGTTTCTTTTTGCTGTGATGATAACGATACTGTCTTTGAAAATAGTTCATTAAAATGTTTTTTACATAAACCTTTTCGATAGCGTAATGAACCTTGTCGTTGTGACATACAACCTTCTATTTCACAAAGTATTCTCCAGTGTCGACCATCCCAAACTTTTCGATTTCCATTACGCATTTGAAATAGTGCACCTTTTTCTAGCTTAATCGAAAAATCATTGTTGGATATGATGATATTTGATGGCGATGACATATCCACAGAAATGAAAACTTCGCGGGTACATCTCAACTTCGTAGTTACTAAAATCTTTTGAACTCATTGTTTCCTTGACTGTAAAGTCATTACTTAGAGAAACAAAACATAGATTCGTCTTAATTTTTTCTCACACTTACTCTAAAGTTATTAATTTTTCCATTTTTTTATCAAACAGAAATTGTGAATGATTGATAGATGCACCCTTTGAGAAATACTAATAAAGCCTTTTTTCAAAAATATCCAGACAACACCAGTTAACGATGTATCAATTAACGAAAATCTTTCGACCCATTTGTGATAAGAGTTATTAAAAGCAATGATTTTCTTTAATTTTATAATTGCAAGTTAAAATTCAAAGGATTGTATTTTATATGATCTTTACAAGTAGACAACCAGGAGACGAGAGACATGCCACTTATGGAGATGCAATCGAAGATGATTTTATCGAATTTTTCGTTGTAATAAACTTTATTTATTTATTTACAGACGTTTCGATTGACCATTATCCAGGGTTGCCAGATGTCCCCCCATAAGGGGGACAATCCCACATTTAAAGATTTGTCCCCCCGCGAAAACCTGTCCCCCAGGATGTTCCCCTTTTCAAGGATATTTTCTTTTGACCATCTTCGATGGACTTTTCACTGTTGTATTACGCTTCCAGTTTAACAGACTTTTAGCGTTTAGGAATTTTTCTTATATGAGATTTCACATAAGAAATAGCACAGAAAGTAGAATTGAAAATTAGAATTTAGTTAGAAAGATCTTACAAAGACCTTTCAACTAAATCATTAACTTCATAAACAATAAGAGCATTAATCATGAAAATTTAACGTGCAATAATTTTCATGCTTATGATCTATGATTTTGAATAAAAAAGACGTTCCTAGTAAGAGCATTCGTGGAATAAAAATATGAACACATTAGTAAAAAATAACGTCTGAATTGAACGTTTAGTGCTTTTTGTGTGACGAAAGATAGTTATATTAAATTTTATGTTTTGACATAGTAATATTAGAAAGACCAGAATAAAAGACTATATTCACGTGCGTTTAATTTTGTCAATGATATCGCACGACAAATAATGTGTTTTGTATTGTTCCGCTTTGTAGAAAAATCAGTCCCTCTTTTTCCAAAATTTGTCCTCCTTACGTCCCCCTTTTCCTAAAATTTGTCCCCCTTTACTTTTTTTTCAGCTGGCATCCCTGCCACTATCCATCCCAAAATACAAGGCCAGCGGTTACTTTTTCAATAATTCAAAAGAAATAAAAGACAGAGACCTACGATTTTCATCATTCTCTAGCCAAGATCCGTAGCGTTAGAACCAGATCTGTAACAAATTTAGTCAATTTTGTATGGTAGTCATTAAAGACTTTAGTCAACACTATTATTAGTAAAGCATCAATAGTTGTTTTTGAAATTCATCTGATAAATTATCTTTTTCAGAACTAAATTATCTCATATACTTCTTAATAAACTCTAAAATATTTCCTCTTTCAACGAAAAGCCATGTCAGGAAAAGTTTGGAGTTTTGCTAATAAATTTTTTTCAAAAAGAAGATTTGGATATTTATTCAATCAAAACCAAGTGTCAAAATTTTGCATGAAAAATCAAAAAAAATTGATGAATTTACAAATTGATTATACTCTCCACGACGTGTTAGTATGCCAATGATGTGTTCTGGCAAATAAAATCTTAAATGATCTATTTGTAATATGCAAAAGGATTTATGAGTCATCTTAATCTTTATGTTATGCTCATCCAACTAAATTACAAGCGCTGGGAAAAATTCGTGGCCGCCGAAAAAGTCAGGCAAAGCACCCCCTCCCCTCTTTTTCGAAAAAATTTCGGATTTTGAGCTGAGCATAGCCTAATGTAGAGAAAAGTGTGGGACACAAAATGAGCACTCCCAGCACTCTACGATCTTTCTTCACAAAATTATGAATTTTTAAAGTTTTCCATTCATAGCCTAAAAAAACTCAATTTTTTAGTTTCATAAACTTTTCTTTCCTGTTCTGTACATTCAAAATTTTTCTTACCCATAGTCTGATAGAAGAAAGTGTTTTCTTCCCAATGAGGCGTCTCCCAGAATTTTCCATGACTTTTCGCGGAGATATAAGCATCGCGATAAATGTCCTGAAAAAGTGGCCTGTATACAAAATGCGTTTTTTTTCTCGAAAACTATTTTCTTACTACCGGGCTTCATTGGACCATATTACGACCCCCCCCCCCCTTAAATTTCATCTGGACGAGTTAAAAGTTTTACCAGTGGTACTCAAGGTCATGGCGCAGAGATATAATTTTGGAATTCTATTTTAGACCTTTCTTTACCGACTTATAGGGTTTTTCAAATTTAAAAACTTGGTTTTTGAAAGTTTTTCGGTGTTTTTTCTATAACTGGATAAAGAAAGGTCTGAAAGAAAATTTCAAAATTATGCCTCTGCGCTTTGACCTTGAGTATCTCTGGTAAAAGTTTTATCTCGATGAAATTTAAAGGGGGGTCGTAGTGTGGTCCAATGAAAAACTGGGTTTTCTGAAAAACCGATGAACGGCAATAGTTAAATGTAATTCAAAAATAGATATATAATCAAATAACGGGGATATTTAATTGATTAGAAAAACCGTGCACAAAAAAGTCAAAAGATTTTTTAGTGCACAGAAAACAGTAAATCGTACATAATTCCGGAAAAAATACCGTGCACAAAAAACATTTTTTCTCTCAATTACTTCTATTATCAGATGTTTACATTGCTCATATTTATTAGACACAATAAACAACAAAAGATAAAGTATAACAATAACCATTCGTGTTAATCCGGTTGTTTTGATATTTCATCTGCTTCCTTTTGATCGACTTGTTCAAACTTTTGAACGAGATCATTTGGAATATCAACATCTGTTAAAAGATTATCATATTCCGGTGTTTCATCCCCAATTAAAATTTGAATTATTTTCTCACACAAAAGATCTAAAACACGATTCGTCTCTTGTTGATGATATTCACGTAATATTAAATAAACATTTTTACGACGAAAATATAGACGAACTGATTTTGTTGTACAAAGCTTGAAATAGAAATATGAAATTAAAACTTAAATACTAAAAATATTTCAAATACATACCATAAGTAGAGCGTCGAGCAAAATTTTTTTAATATCCGGATCTTTTTCTCTTACTTTATCCGGTGGTAAATATTGTAAATCAACTGGTAATTCTTCATTTTCTTTATCGGTAAAATCTTCTGGTCCAGCTAATGGATGTAACAGCGCACATAGAAAATCATCGTTTTCCTTAAGTAAATGGTAATGATATTCTAAAGGAGAGAATAACAAATGTTATCATATATTATCAACTAGATCACTTTAACACAATATAAAACTCATACGTACCATGATCAAAACAACAATTTTTTAATATACATGCCACACTTCCTCTTCTAATCGTTGAATAAGTTGAATTTGTAAAACAAAACAATTTTCTAAGCATACTATGTTTTGAAGATAATCCCTCTCCATCTTGTAATAAACGTTTTCGAAATGACTTTATTTGAGTTAAATTCGCTAATATAGCACTTAAATAATCAAGTTTATTCTGTTTTTTGTTAAAATTAATTGTCAAAAATGCTTCGATTATATCCTCAATCCATTTTGGATATTTTTCATCATAGTATTTAATAAAATATTCACCGTTTTCTACTGAATGAGTCATATTGGACAATAGTTTACATGCAGCATCGGCATGTTCATAGTCAGGATTCAACAATTTGCTGAGTATTTGAAACCAAAAATTATCTAAATCATAGAATACAAAATAATTAAAATTGACTTTGTAAAAATTTTCAAATACCTGGGTGTTGAGATATGTTCAAAATTAGGATGGGGCGTTTTCATTCAAAATCGTTCAAAGATAAGTAGAAATATATACAACCCGTTGCGAGTTCTATTTCGTTTCATCCCAAAAAAAGAAATCAAACTAAGAAGACAAATTTTTCTTTCTTTCGTACTTTCACATTTTTTTTGGATATTCATTGCCCGGTTCTTCTTCACCGAAAAACAACATGACCTCATAGAACATGTCTATACAATCGGGTTACGAATCATCTACATGGATGGGATGACTTAACTACACGAATGTTGAGTAGAGGTTGTATATTTTAAATACTAGAAAAGATTTACTAAACATTTAGAGGAAGCCCCAGAAGCAACCCAATACCAACACACACGGTATGCGTTTTTGGCGGTAACGTTTCACCAAAAGGAATGGTATAAAACTCTTGATTTTAGGAAAAATAGCAAATTTTTAAATCGTATGCGGATTAATGTAAGGCATAGTCATACGGACTGGGTAATATTCGAGAATATTCAAAGCGAACAATATGAATACTTTAGAAGAAATACACATATGCTCGAGGTTTTTGCGTATAAATACTTTCTTCAACCCCCGTAAACCTCTCGATGCTCAATAAGATATCTTAACAAACCAATACTCTGTGGCATTTTAACACTGTCGAGGTATGTGTATTATCACTAGTAAAGTCTCTTTTTCTTTTTTTTATCTATGGATTATAAAATCGAGCTGTTTTTTTGTTTTACACAATTATTAACTCTTTTGGAACAAATAAACTTATTATCAATGTAAAAAAAAAGAATTATCCTAAATCATATGTATCATACACGATCAGCATACAGAATACAATTAATGAATATTTTTAAGCTTACCATCTGTTATTTTTGTTGTAAGTTTTAAACTAATTTCTTCATCGGCTGTTAAATTAATTAAAAACAATAAACAATCAAAACGAATAGATTCTTGGTTGTCCTCGAGTAACAGTGTACATATTTGTGTTAAAAATTTGTCGTCCGATTCATTGATTAACGATTGTCGACCTTCTTTGGTAGCTGTTAATGCTAAACATGTGTGTATTGATAACGCTTTTACATCTAGACGTTCAGTCGGATATAAAAACTGAGACAATTCGTGTAATGCAAGAGATATTTCACTTGTGGAGGTGTTTGTCATCTAAAAAGATATAAATGTCATGCGCTGCTAAAATATAATATAATATTCAATATTTTATGGCACTTCAGTAAAATAAACTATATGAATAACAAGAAGTACAGCGCTTGAGTAATAGAGAACTGCTATCTAAAATTTTCCAGAAAATTAAGTTGCAAGAACCCCAAAATCTTAGCATGATTACTAAAATGAGTATTCATGGGTGATTAATACTTACCATTCTATGAGCTGCATGCGTATGTTCACTTGGGTAAGCACATACATATCTGTAGCGGTAAAATTTAAAGTCTTAGAATTCTGCGAGTCACGAGTCCTGAGTGATAAATAGGACTAGGAGAAGAAGATAATAAATGTTGAGAGAAAATGTCTCATCCATACCACAACTGTGTCATAGCAACATAGATCTTGTATTCGAGTGACATTCATGAACACATATCGAAAACGCTTTTCAAAATCACGAGTTAGCGAACGATAATCGTGGCATAGATAAGATTGTATTACGGTTAATAGAGATGGATATCAATAGTGCCTCAGAGTTTCTATCAGCAGCGATCGATGATTTTTTCGTGAAAACTTCACTAACATACACATCTACCTGACTGATTTTCTTACAAGCATATTAGTTCTATCTTATTTGGTAGTTTCTACTAGATAAGGAGACTTTTACAAAACGAATATATTTAAGTAAACTACGAATACTGAGACTAACTATACGCAGATGGGAAGTGGATAATTTTGTGTTTCGACTCGAAAAACGCGAAGCAGATACGTTGAAATTAGTGTCGCTGAATGAAATAAATAAATCACCTAACTGATCCTCTGAATCTGAGACATGATAAGACAAAGGCGCATTGCAATAGTACCTTTGAAGCCTGTCTTACTAAATACAGATTCAGACTACAAAACTAAAAGTTTATAGAAATAGATGGATGTAGGCTAGATACTGCTGTTAGGGATTATTCTTACAGTAGCAGATGGTTCCATAAACTGTTGCTGTTCATTTTGTTCGTATGTACATCAGGATAGAACTGTATACGGAGACGACGACGATAACATTAATGATTGTATAAACGACAGTTTTGTTGTTGTTATAAGAATTTTCTGAGAATTACGTTTGTTACTGTTAGTCGTGAGGTCAAGACAGGGTTAAGATATTTTTGCTATGATGACGCTTTATAAGAACGTGTACGATTGTGGTGTACATCGAGACAGGACGTTCCATCCGTCATGTCACAGCCGAACATTTTTTGTACCCTATTAGCTCCTGTAATATGTAATCCTCGATAATACACACTAAACAACAGTTTTCACATAGAAAATCGACCATTCTATTGTCATTTGGTTTAAGATATGATCAATAGTGAAGCCGGTTGCTCATCTTTTGTCATTATTGTTGTGATTGATTCTAAATAGTATCATCTAGCCATGTAAATTATTCTCGTAATGTATTAATAATACTGAGTAAATGAACATTGGAAGATCTTGCAGTTATTTATTGGTAATATTATACTGTTCTTCGTATTGATTGCAGAATCAATAATAGAGCACTTGAAATGTATAAATTGTGTAAGAATTCTCGGCTATTCTAGAAGTTACTTTTTTGAAGTCAGTTCATTCGCTATTATTGCTAAAATTATTTATCAAAGGGAGAAGTCTCATTATCACATGTGTTTTGTCAATTTCGTTGTTCATCACGTACGCCAAAGGTACTGTATTCGAACGAGCTCCGACAAGCCGTATAATAAACTTGAGCAATTTCCTTGTGTCTTACGAGGGAACGTTCTTAAGTTCCCCCTCGTTTTTTCAACGAAACCTAGTGGGTTATAGGTTATCGATGATGCTGATTCCAAATATGAATATGAGAGCTGCTCTTAAGGCTTCGAAGATCCGGCTTTCTGAAAAACTGGTTTTTCAGAAACTATGAAAAATAACCATAGCTTTCCTTAATGAGTCATGCGTGTAGCCCGCACATTTCTGATTAAAATGAGACCTCTCCCAACTCTACATAACCTTTCTTTGCAAAGTTATAGAATCTACAAGAAAAGCCCTAAATATTTATTGTCAACTCAAAGCTAAAGAAATAAGAAATTAATTTAGGGCTTTTCTTGTAAATTCTATAACTTTGCAAAGAAAGGCCATGTAGAGTTGGGAGACAAAAACTGGTTTTACAGCTCTAAGGGCACCTCTCATATTCATATTCGGAATCAGCATCATCGATAACTCATAACCCACTCGGTTTCGTTGTAAAACCGAGGGGTGCTTAAGAACGTTCCCTCGTTAGTACCCCGAATTACCCGCCCTACAACATGGGCACTTGTGACATACAACACGGTTTCTCCAATTATTTTTCGTGGCTTTCCGAAAACCTAGTACGGGATTAGTTAGTGTGTAAGGACAGCTCAAAGAATTGGGCAAAAGAACTCTGCATTGAACTAGTCTCAACTGCACTCAACAGATACTTATTTTATTTGAAATTGGGCATACCTCGTACAGTTTGATCAAACAATTTTAGATCTTTCTACATTTAACTAGTTTTATTGTTTGTGATGATAATCTTTTATAGAATGGAAATGGAAGCGGGATCAAACGACAAGGCACCTAATGATGTAAATTTTGATGATATGAAAAAGCGACTCGGTACAAGTGATGGTTGAATTCGAACATTTTTTAGTATATTGCGAAACATGATTCAATCAACCATCTTAAAATAGAAAAAATCTTTTTAATTAAACAATTTCAAATGGCCTGCTTGACTGTAGCGCACATTCTCAAAGCGTCATCGAAAATCATTTTACGATTTAGATAATAGTTGAACGATTGACGTTCAAAAATTAATTCAATGTAGATTCTGTTTTTCGGTTTTAGTTTCACCAACTGTTAATTTATATTACAAACAAAGAAAATGTATTGTATATCTGCAGAACCAGTCATTTGTCCTAACATAAAAGTATGTCATGAAATATAACAGAAACTCCAAAAGGTGTGTTTTATTTTTTCTTATTTTTTGAAAAAAAAAGTGAAAATTTTGATACCTATAAAGAGATGACAGAGAAAGAGAGAACGATGATTTCACATTAAACAACAACAGTAAGAACAAGAAAAAAAATTTCCAAAAACTAGAAGTAAAGAGTTCATTTGTATCTTTGTTGCCATCAGAGAAGGCAGAAAGTTGAACATGCATATAAATACATGGGTACTATAGAGAAAGAACGAAATACAAAAAAAATTCAAACAAATATTTTTAATGAGATAAAATATTTAAGTTTAAAGTTGTTCGACGTGACAATGATGGATATGCATTTTCTAAGCCTTTGCCACGACTATAACGAAAAGATAGAGAAAAAATGTTAAAGCAGCAATTTACTAGCAATATAAACCGTAGTAAAATTGTCGAGAAAAGTTTGTGCGCTTGCAAACAGAAATGAAGATAGTGCCAAATTAACAGCAATTAAGATATTTTTTCTTCAAACTGATCACTACCTAGGAAGTTATATGATATATAACGGATGATCCTACCAGAGTACATTGTTCAGCTATAAGAGAATCACATGTTAGTTAAATCAAATATTTCTGGGGTTAGAATAGCTCAATCTGTTTGTCTTCTTGATTCACGAAGGATTTATACACGTTCAAAAAAAACCAGACATGATTTATCAAATCATCATTATAATTATTTGAGAATTCTCATGTGACGATAATTCTGCAAAACAAAATAGAGAGAATAAAAAAGTGTGATGAATATTCTACGTAAAATGAAAGCGTGCTTTATTATTAGTGATGCCTTCAACTCGAATCTCTATTTTACCTACGCGTGAATGACGGTTGAACTAACAACAGTCTCCAAAATATTACTTCTTAAATTTCAAATGCGTAAACATCATCTTTTCTTTAGGTAGACTGCGAATATTTTCGTGTGAAGGAACTTCTCGCAAATACTTGTTGATTACATTAGAAGAACAGGAGGCTGAACACACTCCACACACACACACGCACACACACACAGAAATAAAAATTCTATGCCTACATGATAGTAGACTCTATTAGTAGTGCTAAGTTTACAATGCTTCGATAACTTCTAAATAAACAAAGAAGAAAAGCGAAGTATCACGTGCACGCATCTAATTAAATTACTAATTAGAAACGATCATCTCTTTACTTCCTAGCGATGATGGGAATAGTTGCTGTTTTTGCTAGGATATGCTAGACAAATAGAGAAGAAATCGAAAGAGAAAAAAATCTGATATCTCCGAATAAACACGGTATAATATCGATAAAACTTACTTTCTAACGCATCACTGGCAAAATGTTGTACATCAAAGTCACCATCTTGTGTTAATTTTTCCAAACATGGTTTAGCATGCATGGCTAATGCACTACAACAAAAAGATGGAAGATAATATTGAGTTGTTTACAGTTTTATGTCAAAATATTTGTTCTAATAGAACATTGAACACCTTGTTGAAGAGAATTTGTAATAATTCATTCATACCTTCCATCTAGAACAGGATATATTCTTTGAAGTGTTTTAGCAACATTAAATCTGACATTCGCCACAGCATCACCAGCCAATGTTATAACTGTTGGTAACATCATACGTTGAGTTATTTCTTGACCACAAGCTTCAGCTAATACCTAAAAGAAAAAACAGAGAGAGTCAACAAATAATAGTTGACATTATTATAGACTTACATTAATAGCAAATAAACACGTCATTCGATATAAATAATTTTGATCACGAGCTAATTGTATGACTTTTGGTATAACGGTATTTTGAGCCCAATCACGCCCAAATTTTTCTACTAATTTCTTTAAATTATTTGTTGCTGCTTCACGAATGGCATAAACTAAGTTAACAATGTACAAAATAGGAAAAAGAATGAATTTCTTCCAATAAATCTACTCTGACTAATCGTTGATTATCAAAGTCTCTGCTGTCTACTCAAGACTAACGTCCAAAGGGCACAAATGGTACCACAAAAAAGAGGAAGTCGAGTAATTCTTAAATGCGAACTCCGACAGAAGACTGATAGAGTGCGATTCGTAAGTATTTTTTCCTACTAACCAGTTTGTTTTAGGTCATGGTTTTAATTACTAGTCACTTCGTTTCATATAGTGCTTACCATGATCTGTTAACCAACTCATACAAAGACTGCTTAATTTCTCATCAAAAAATTCCGGTCCCTTAAAAGAACAAAAAGGATGTATTAAAAACAAGAATAAAGAGATAAACAGAAGCAAATACTAATTGTCCAGCAAGTAACGGCATATATTCTATGATGCCTAATCGAACACGCCATTTAGCATCACTAGCCAATTCAACAATAGCTGGTAATAAACTTTGACTTAATTGACGAACACCAATAACCTAGAGCAAAAAAAACATTAGTCCTTCAACACAATAATTCTCCTTATCTTCTGCATTATTCACCTCATTGATACAATCCAAATTAGATATAATATTTAATCGAACCTCAGGACAATCATCTTTCAACTGACTCAAAAACAATGGTAATAAATGTTCCAATGTACTAAACAGATAAAGATTTAAAAAAATAAATATGATTTTTCTCGCAAACTGCTTACTTGTCTTTTCCTAAAATTGGTGACAATCCCATAATAACACTAGCTAAAGCTGATTTGACGTGTTGATTCATGTCAGTTACCATATCTTTGACACATGGTAGAATTTGTGACATAATGATTTGTTCACGTGTCTCTTGAGGTAATTGATTACAAAAATCTTTTAATTTACTTGCAGCAGCAGCTCGTACTTCGGCTTCAGGATCTTTCAATAGTGAACAATAGGCGCTAACTAAATCATTTTTTGTTATTTCATTTCCAACAGCCTTTTGAAGCTGAAAACGATACAAACAATTAAAAAAAAGATTTATATTCTAATCGCTACGAGGAGTCCCAGGATTATGAATCGCATGTCAAAGAGGATTCTGCTTTCTTTAATATTTCTACTTACTTCAACTAATTTATCAGCTACCACGTATCGAACTCTCCATGATTTATCTTCTGTTGCTCCTCTTAATGTATTCATCATTTGTGCTTCTAAATCATCTTGACGAAATAGTGATGCCATTGCAATACCAGCTTCAATAGCCAACAACCGGACACTGTCTTGTTCATCATTAGCCAAATTTGTAAACAAGCCAACTAAATCTGTACGCAAGTATTCCGTTTCGACTACCTTCGAAAATTCACCTAATTTAGATACAGCTGCACGACGAACCATTGGTGTATCATCCTGACATAAACTTTTGAATAATCTAATAAAAACAACAAAAACCATTATGTGACATAAACAAAAATTGATACATACTGTCTTAGTTCCGATTTGACATGATTTGATACCCTTGAATAACAAACACTAATCAGACCAGATGCTGATGTTCGTGACGTAAACCAATCACCTTGTGCTAAACGTTTTACAGTGGGTACAAAATATGTTTCTAAGTCGGTTGTTGAATGTTGTGGAGCTAATAAACGTAATGAATCAACAGCTTTATCTCGAACAATTGTTTCTTCTACTTGTGCTAAACTTTCTAATGGAGGCTAAAAAATACGGTTTAATTCAAGCTTCAGTAATACATATCATAACAATACATACCAATAAAACGTGAACATAACTGTCTCCTCCTACTAATTGTGTGAATGTGCCTAACTGTTCAGCGAGAGCTAATAATACTTCATCTTCATCATAGATCGTATCTAAATATAACATAAAGATAAACAAAATGATTTTTCTGAAACAAACAACTTTAGAATGAGTAAAATGAATTTTCTTTGACAGAAATACAACCTTTTAGTCAAGAAATTTCGCATAGTAACTAAAATAGTCTTTATATAGCTCACCTTACAAGAAAATTGAAATTATGTATCCTTACAGACTAATTCAATTTCACTTTTAGCAGCAGAGAATAAAGGTGGATAAAAGCGGTAGTAACAACACAAACGACCATATTACCTGTTAAAAATGGTATTAATTCTGATCTTGTTCGTTCGACACCAAGTGCTAATGCAATTGTTGATAATTTTTTGATACTATTCAAACGTAACTGAAACACAGACAAAAAGAGCATAAAAATCGTTTTTTTTTTTCTACTAAAAAAATCAAAACTAACTTGAACATCTTCATTTCTTAATTCATCAATAAGAACGGCAATGGGATAAAGACTTTCATCTGGAGTTATGTCACCTGAACCAGCCATTACTAATATATAAATGATAACAAAAATCTAAAATAAAATGCGAAGAACAAGCTGACATTTACACAATTTCTTATTAAAGTCAACTACAAAAATTTTAGCATTAGGCATTTTCTGGAAGAACAACTAGAACAGATCAGTTTGTGACAAAAAAGAATTTATTCAGTGCTGTCTACTGTTTATATCAGCAAATATTCTATATAGAAGTCATTGATTGTCAGCAAGGATTCATGTAACTACGCATAATAATCTTAATCTTAGTCTTAAGCAAAAACCTAAGATTAGGAGCAAACCCAAACATAAAAATACTAATTCTCTCTGCAAGGATATATGAGTAATTTTGCCTCTTTTATTCGTTTTATCTGAGAAAATTCAATAATCAAGCTAAAAACAACCAAGTCACAGATGGAAAGAAAAGGCACGCAACAGCCAGCAAATAGATTAAAAATTTGACTTATTGGTGAAACAAACATATCTTTGAAAGGCTTCCACTTCAGAGTTTTATAGCTGAAAACACTTTCATATTTCATAAAAATGTTTTAGTCATCTGAGTTAGTTTTAGAAAACTAAAATATATGAGTAGATTTAAAATATTTTCATCGCTGGTATTGTGCTGATTTTTTTTATTATAATTTAGCTAACTACCGAATTGCAGTCATCTAGAGCAACGATAAGGTAACTTTTTTCAAAGAATTGTAAGTTTTCTCCTCCCGAAAAGGTGAATCATTGCATTTCTAGTGCACTGCGGCACTTCGAGACCCTTGACAGTTTGGTTTAGATCAAAAATTGAAAACTAAGAAAGATCCCATGAATTAGCGTGGAAGGTTACTCAAATGAATTTAATTCTAAAGGTTAGTTTTAAACATCTTTTTGTTTATATTTTAACAAGGCGGCGTTACCATTCACGTAATTAGAATTTCACGCTTTCCTCAATGAAGGTAAACTTCTCCACTGTGAAAAACGTGGATGAAAGAGGTCGCTTTAAACTATAAAGATTTCATATGGATGTGGCGCGAAGTACTCATTCACTAACGAAACTTCGAGAATTCAAAAAGGGAGACATGTCAAGTTCAAAATCTGGTCGACTATTTCGAGAACCACTTCGGAAAGAAGTCATGAGTTTTCAGCATCGTGAAGGATTCATTCACACATAGATAGATATATCAGAAAAAGTCTACGCAGCTCTCGATACGTTATTTATTTTGCATGAACGAGAATTATGAATAAACCATATTCGTTTCAAAGAGCTTAGAAAATTTTCTGTTAGTGAGGGATCACTAAAGTTTTAGAGGAAGTCACTATGATACCAGTGCTATTGACGACATTGTACGGTGCATGGACAAAAAATTGTACAAAAAGCTCACCGAATTTTTGCGTACTGCTCGTGAGGATCTATTGGCAACAGGAAACGTGTGGGAATTTTTAGGGAATATGCCGGACTTTTATGTAAGAGTAGTCTAAAAGAGCTTGTGTGGAATTCGGAGGCATCTTATTTTTATCAGAATTTGATGGGTTTTAATTCAGACAATTTTTCTAAAAGCTGGATGGATCTTGCGAATTTTAAGAACTTGGTTTTTAAGAAACCTACCACTTAAAGTCGGTTTATCCGCTGTCAAATCCAATTTTTACTATCGTTAAATAGCGTCAGATCAAATCTACATGTTGTGCTCAGAATTAAAAGCATAAACATTTCATCGACTGAAAAATTCTATTCTTATGTTGATTGGTGCAATTTAAATGTACAGACGAACGTATGTGGTTCTAAGATGTCGGGGTAAAAGAAAAAGATAGACCACAGCTCCATAGCATAAAACTAATCTAAGATTGTGTTTGGAATATATTTAATTACTTTAAAAAAAATTGCTTTTAGAATCAGAGCACGAAATGCTCTGCTGTTGTTGATGGCTTCATCTTTGCTACCTCTATAACTCGAGAAAGAAGCAATGTAAAATGCTGAATTTTTAGCGTAAACTAGTTACATAGAGACCTACACTTCTTATGAATTTTGTTCGAATCGCCCACAACAATTACATTCATTTGTCTGTCTGTATCGAAAAAAACTGGCTCATGAATCAAAAACCTTTTTTAGTGTGCTTTCTAAAAGTGAAAGCTCCAACAGTCCCGTTTTTAGGAAATCAGTCATGATTTACCAGGATTATAGTCTTGTGGTAGAAGTTAAGGCAGAGTTCGGAAACGTCTCATTTTAGAGTGCTAACAAATTATTATCTATTTGGCAAATGTGGCATCTTCTTTAGAACACTTTATCTTGAAATCCAATCATTTATTCACATTCGCTTAATTATAATTTCAAATAAAATGTTCATTGTCTTCAAAATAATGAGACATTCACGAGCTCTATACTGGCCTCTCTCGCACAACTACAACCGATGTTCCAAAACATCGTCACATTAACTGGTAAAAACTGTAAAAACTTTCATTGGAAAAAATGTTATTCTTTCACAGATGGAGGATCATTTATTATGTGTAAAATCGGTATCGATTTTATACTATTTCAAGGTGAGACTTATTGAACTTACTTATTTAAATTTAGAAGTCGATTTTTTAACTTTTAATCACATAAAATTTTCTATAATCCTTTCATAGTTTCAATATTCAACAAAAAACAAATTATTGCAGAAAAAAATTAAGCAACACGGTTACATACAATTTAATAAAATAAGAAAAAAATAAAAAGCGATGAAAGTTAACAAATGTAGATTTCTATATTAAAGGCAACAATTATTTTCCTAATAATAAATAGATCTTGAGGAATTTAAACAATTGGCTGAAACTCTTATCTGTTCTTCTCTTGCTTGCTATATCTCAAAAATTCTTCCTAAACTTCAAATGATTCTTCATCTGGAAATATATTTGAAAATAACTGTTCAATTGCTTGTTCATAAATGTTTTTTCTATCTTTCATGTTTGTTACATCAATTTTATAATATTCAAATCTCATTGGATTTCCTAAAAGTAGAACAAGTACTAATTCTGATTCTAACCATATAGCATTATAAATAGGTTCATCATATTGTTTAATTTGAATTGTACCATCTAAATTTACTTTCCATAATTGTTGTAATTTCCAATCGGCTAATAAAAAACTCGAATTATGTGATGTCGTTAAACCACATCCTTTAGAAAAACGATAAAAACCATTGTTTAATTCAATTTTTGATAACAATTGAAATTCTTGAGTTCGAACTTCCAATGCATATTCATTATCACGTTCAATAAGTAAACCTAAAAATAGATGATGTACAATATTGGAAGAAATTATAAGAGTACCTTCTCTTTTGATTCTTATACTCAATCGAAGAGTTTAAAACAGAGAGTTCAATCAAGCCCCGAAGAGTCAAAAGGCTTGATCGCTATTTAATAGAAAAATGTTACGGAAGTTGGCAAACACATCGAAAATATGTGTCGTACACGACTACGGTGTTGGAGAAGTTTTCGATTTGGACTCTGGATTTTTATTTTTTAAAGTTTCACTTTATTTTAAATCAAGTTTTTATTTTATATCTTTTGGTTGAAAATGAGATTCAAAGTAAAGTACTTTAGAACTCTCTGTTTTGAACTCTTCGATTGAACATAAGAATCAAAAGAGAAGATACTCTTATAATTTCTTCCAGTATTATAAATAATGTCTCTTGCACGTATAAAATTTACCTAATTTATCATTACTTGTTGAACACAATGCTCGACATCTTCCATCGATAAAGTAATGACAAATAATTGTCCAATCTTCAGTTCGATAATAAACTAAAACTGTTTCGTATTTCGTTTTCCAATATGCATACAATAAACGTGAATTAGACAATGATGTTAGATATCTCGGATAACATTGTTCACCTCTGGAATCAAAATGTGAATAACCATTATCGATCGGTATACGACATAATATTCGATCACGATAATATTTGTCACCAAATAAATTAAGATAACAACCGTATATATGAGTTTGACAGGCAACAAATAACATTTTTAATTCATCGTACCAATAAATTGAATATGGACGTGTACCACGCCATTCGATTGAAACCGTTTGACCAATAGATGACATATCATAACAAATAAATTGTTCTTTATCAAGACAATAGAGTAAAATTGAATTCGTTTTACATAGAGTTATTAACGAGATAAAATAATTACCACACATTAATTCACATGACCAATGATTTATTTGATACGGTAGAGCGAAAATATCATCACAGTATGGAGAATTTAAGTGACGAATAGTATTTTGATGCGAAAAACAATATTGAGGTGAATAATTCGATGGATTATCATTTACTTCAGTGGTACAAACATTGTCATATTCAAGATCATCTCTATCAGGATCAGTTGATGTTTCTAAATAAAAATCAAGAAAATAGCTTGAAATGATAAACGATCTTTTATCTTACCAATGAATCTTGTTGTACTTAACGGTAAAAATGTTTGACTTTCATATTTATCTTTTTCTTCTTTAACATTATTTAACATATGTTGATGATGACTACTGTTTTTATTAGTCAAGATAACATTCTCTTCAATGAAGGTATTTTGTTTTGATACTTCTTGTTCATCATATTCGCCGATATGAAATTTCCATGTTAAATCTAGAAATTTTTCGGGTTCATTCAATTCATTATGAATATTTGGTTTGCTTAATGTTTTTTCAATCGTCGTTTTAGTCAATTGTTCAAAGTACTTATAATCGCTTATATCAAATTCATAGGATAAATTTAATAATTTAGATTTTAATTGTTTTAAATAGGTTTTTAATTTTAAAATATTTTCATAATGTTTCCTAAAACATTCATTAATATTTGCTTCATATTGTTTCTGTCTCTTATCAATTAAATTTCGTAGAGTATTATAGACATTTTCAGATTGTTTATGAGAATTTTGTCGTTGTAGTTCAATATCATCAACGAGATATTTTATACTTGTTAATGATTCATCAATTGTCGATGTTAAACGATTAATCATTAAATTTGATGTCGGTGGTTTAGGTGGAACAATATCATCTTTCTCTGACATACTGGTATAATGACTATTATTATTATTATTATTATTATTACTTGGTACAGATACATGTGTAATATACGGAATAAGTTCTCGTCCAAGTGGAAGTGAGATAGTAGACATTAAAAGTGGATGTTCATAATTACATGTATCATTGTACGAATGATAATGATTTGGTGGAATATATTTTTTATCATAATTTCGATGATTAGTTAAATCAATGTTAATATTATTTTTATTAAGTTTATAGTTATTATATCCATATGATGGATGTTGATGATCATACTGATGATTGAGCATTCTATTATTATAATCTAAAAGTATCAAGAGAAAGAAATTATTTTATCGATTTTATTCTCTCAAGTTTGCAGATGAATTTATGAAATATACTTTTTCTTTTAAATCTTTGCGAAATATATAAGATAAGATCGATATAACGCTTAACACTTTTCGTCAAAAGAAAATTAATCTGCAAAAGAACTAAATACTAATGTAATTTATTCAATATGATAGTATTAATTCCATCATGCCTACAAGTGATGAACATTAATCATCAAAAAAAAATTTGTTTTCTTCTTTTCTCTATATGAATGGATATAGACGGAATTACGAAAATATCTATGCGTTCAATTTATTGTAAGGTATAAATCATCAGTCGACAATCAGCTCGGTCTGAAAAGCTGAATCAGAGCCCGCGAATCAGCTCTGAAAAAACTGAAAATGACTTCCCATAAAAAGTATTTTTCTCTTCTTTTGCTTCTTACTCCTTCAGGATTCAATAGCCTTATCAATGCTTTCAGGACTGACGCAAGTAAACACCACATGATGCTGAGGACTTAGGAAGTGTGCTTGATAGTATCGATAATATCTTCCTACTCAACATAATATTGTTCTTAAATATTTATAATAGTCGAATTATCTAATTTTTGTACTATTTTAAACTTTTCTCATTTTATAAATCTTTGTTGATTATATAAAACATTTTCTTCTAATAACTGATTCAGAGCTGAAAAATCTGACCGGGAAACAGTTTGGAAATTGTCTTTTTCAGAAAATTTCGTCACTATATTCAGAGCTGAATGAGCTAATCACACTCTTCATCTCTGAATCAGAAGATATATTGTACAGAAGTCTGATTCAGTCCTGATAAAACCGTACAGCTGATTCAGCTTTTCAGATCGAGCTGATCGTCGACTATAATGCACGTTTATGATAATTATCGATGATTTTTTTTCTGCTTCTTCTTTGAGTCACTTATTATTTTCGATTTATGATGACTAAGAAAAGTAATATAGTATACCTTTGGTATTGTAGATGTGTGTGATTGATGTACTGTTACTTTTTTTTTCTTGTCTTCTCAACTTCATACGAAAAAAAGGTATTTAATAGAAATACGGCATAAAGGATAAGGAACTTCGTACTTTCAATTTTTCTTTGTCGTCTCACGTCTTCTGGAGTTAAGTTTTTTAAAAAGATTTACCATTCGATTCTCTATGAGAACTGACCCACATCACTAATAATACGAGTTTATTCTACTTCCAGTGTTTGGTTATGATAGATCAATCATTTCTCTTCAAAATAAAAGAAACACTCGAGGTGGAAATGTTGAATTTTGGTCGAATTATACAATTTCTACCGGAAGCCTCAAACAGATTAACGAAAGTGTTGATTTTTTTCAGTTAAAATTTTGAGAAAAGAAAAACTTCTCGTACATAAGATTCTAATGTAAAACATTTTAACTACAGCTAAGGGGTAGAGCTTTCTAAGAGCTTTACCTTTTAGCTGAACTGATTAGCTATAAAATAACTAATTAGTTTTTTTTCTCTCCAAGGTGTAGTGAATAAAATTGAAAAAAAGTTGTTACGAAGTGTGCCAAGTTGGAACTTTCCAATACGGTTCATGCAATGTCTCACTGTTACATTTTATTACTAAACTTTTAACAGATTCTCGTAGTGAATCGAATGGTGAATCTTTTTAAAAAAATTAACTCCAGAAGATATGAGAAAATACAAATTTCCCTATTCTTTATGTCGCATCCATTATCATGAAATTTCTACCGTTTAATAAGTTTTGTTTTTAAATGCAAATTAAAAAATAATATTGACCCAAAAAAAGTAGAAGAATTTATTATATGTACGATCTATATCATTTATACTAGCTAATGTTAAAGATTTTTTTTCAAATGCAAACATGTACTGAGAGAATCAGTCAATTACTATGAATCTCAGATATTTTTGACATTTTGAATAGATTAATTTAACATAAGAGAGAAGAAAAATCACGGATAGATATTGTCATGTAAGTGTTACACATTATATGTCCGGTAAAATACTCACAGTAAAGTATTTTGACACTTCTGACAGACACGTATATGTCTATTACAAAACTTGTTATCTGTGCATAGTTTTACCGATCAATGTAATAAACTATATCAAGGTTACAAATTGATCTTTTACAGTTGAAAATAAATTTTTACACTTACTCATTTATTTCTTTTTTTTTTTTCTTCTCAGTCAATCACTTTTTTTTTTATTAATTAATGACATTGAAACACTGACGAGTAGACTAACTGAGTGTTAATATATATATATGCACTCTTACATATTCTAACTAACGTATCTAACATACATTTTTCCGTTTATATGCTTATAAATACCATTTTACTTACTCTATGTTTAGAAGCAGAAAAGAACAAACACACGGTATATAATAGTGAAAAGAAACCGAATCTAATCGTTGAGGAACGAAAAAAAACAATAAAACAAAAGAACACATACCTTCTCCTATGTATAAAACACTAGTCATTGTTCTCATATAAGATGATCAAAATAATTTAGACTAAGGTCATACGATTAGAAATTTTGCAGATTTTTTTATCACATTTAGTATTCACTTAAAAGTTAATATAACCTTGAGTGTAAAATTCAATTTTCTAACTATTGATTGTTTCTGTTGTTTCAAGAAGAGAAGAATTCGTTTTATCTAAGTGACAATAGCAAATGTAAACAGCTGTTATTTATCTACAAGCTATTAGCAACTATCATCCTTACATCAACACAGTAAACAATTGTCTGACAGATTATTATGACACCTTACACAACATCTAAATGACATTTGCTGACAAAACCGACAAAACAAAAAACATTCTCTAGTATATACACTATAAAATCATGTGCTTAACGTCAGTTGTTTTTTTATTAGAAAAAAAAAATTAATTAAATAATTAATTATTGATAAGAAAAAAAGGTATAAAACAGGCTGTTCTTTTACAATGAGTAATGTAGAATTTGATGAAAAAGAAAGAAAAAGAAAAATATGTATTTTGCTAGACACAATTGAAAATGAGATTAATGATGGTGTTTGTAAGCTATTACTTAGATAAACGATAAAAGATAGAACTTACATGTAGTTATGATATTAATCAACCAAATAGAAACTGTTGGAATAGAGTGGAGAAATGTTTTATGGATAGTATCATAAAATTGTGGTCACTACTATCGAGAAGGAAATATTTTACTTGAGATTTTAATAGAAACTGTAACTACACTCGCTTATGTCTGACACAGGTGGAGGTGACACAGCACTTAATTTTATACAATGTGATGATTTTCTTAGATCAGTGAACTATAATGCTAAGAAAAGCTTCTCATCATATAAGCCTTGGTACATATTATATTCAGGCACCGGTCAAGTACTACTTGGTACTGCGGCATACTAAGTTCAGGCCAAGAGACAATGGAGAGCTATGCACACTTGAGTTGGCAAGCCGTCCCTTTTCTTATGGAAAAAGAACCTTCAGTGTGATCCTGGCTTTTTTGTTGGTCCGAAATGTTTCGGCAGTATTCATTGTAAAAAATAAAGTGTGCCCGAGGCACAGTGGAACTGCACGTCATTTTGGACTCAAAATGCATACTGAAAACCGCCTGTTCGGTGTGCCCATAACACACTGTAAATTGCTCATTTAAGCAACTGCACATCATTTTGGACTCGAAATTCACACTTGGAGAATGCAAGATCTATGGAGCTCGGTAACGAGAGATGAGTAAATGTGAGAAGGGCTTGAATTTTTTAAGGCGAAATTTTTATTCTATAGCAGGGAGAAAACAAATATCGTTTTTTAAGAGATGTTGAAGGATACTCACAAAATGTTCCAGAGTCAGGTCTAAAAGTAAAGATATTACGCTTCCTACTCAAACACATCGCAAACACATATAGATAACAAAGGACGGGGGTCGATAAGAGGTAAAATCGGTCTCCTCTCAGGTCAATCTCATATTCACAGGTCTGATGTAGTTTTTCTGCGTGATTAAAACTAGCACCTTAAAAACCCATTTCCACCCTCTCCCCTGGAAAAAATTTCGCATCCAAACTTTTCTCCCCTTAGATGAACTTTATTTAGAGTATTTGCCTCATTTCCTCTCTTTTGCCCAAAGCAAACCTCCTCAACTACTGTATACCAAGCGATAGAGAATTTCACGGGCTACAAAATGATATATAAAATGTTGAGATCAAAACAGAAATTTTCGACCATATCAATAGATAGCCCCTTTAATTCTATACAAAATGATGCTGGCCAAGTATCTTAGTGGACCACTCAGTTACAGGCTTTTTAATATTATGAGTATAAATTCAGTCGCGTTAATGCCGTTTTAGATCTGTATCGTATTTTCTATGCCACTTTTTGACACAACATCGTAGAAACTTGGCCAGCGCTGTTGACCCATGCATTTGAGGAGGTCGGGACTAGTATTCCTGCTGTTAGGACATCCAGACTCAACTTGATGTCAACATTTTATATATCATTTTGTAGCCCGTGAAATTCTCTATCGAGCGGTATACAGTAGTTGATTAAAATGGGTCCGGTCCCTACGAACGAAAAAACATAGTATGGCACATTACAATAAACAAGAAATTCAAATTTTGAATGCCAAATTCCAATATCCATTCAACTCGCCTTGTGTATATTTTGTATACTATATATATATTTCAACTTCACCCTAGGTTAGGTCAAGTCAGGTTATATGGAAGTTGTAATTCTTACTGTGAGAATAACCCAGGGCGAAGAGTACTGAAATATAAACTTGTAAGACCGTGTTACAAGATACCATAAGAGCTAAGATTTCAGAAGAATCTTGGTTCAAGAATTTTATAAGATTTCACAAGATTTTTCTTGCAACAAGATTCTGTAAGATCTTGCAAGCCTTTACGATAAGATCTTGTAGGATTGTGCTAAGTTTATCATAAGAACTACCTGTTTGTAACAAAGTGTGGCTTGATGGACTGATTTATCGCAGCACGGTTTAGAGTGGTATAGAACAGTGTTTTTGTACTGGCATATATATATCTGCACTCGCATGGCGGAGGGTGGGGTAACATGAGGGAAACAGAGCAAAATGGCAGTGTTGCACGAAACAGGTCAACTGTGGTCTCGTTTTGCTGCAAGTTTATATTCAGTTGAAGTTTTCTATTTACGCCGTGATTTCGAGAAACAAGATGAAACGAAATTGATCCAGCTATATCTCAAAAATCACAATAGTCGAACAAGGTATCTCTCAGAGAAAGAACCTACTAGTCACGACTGATATATCAAATCTAAAATGAAGCATAATCACAACGACGGGCGAGTTGCCGTTCGACGGACAAACTGGTTATGTCGACATTTTCATTAATATTCGTATACAAATGTATTTTTCGGAACTCCAATGGGGAACGAGCTTATAGATATGTGCCAGAGTTGTAACCGGTCCGGTCCGGGTGGACCGGTGCCGGACCGGTTGAAATGGTTGGACCGACCGGTTTTCACCGGTTTTTACCGGTCTAAAGAAATTTTTTAATCATAAAACTCCCGCTAGTCCCCCTCAGGATTAAGTCATAAAATTAATTTCACAATTTTCTAGATATACAATTTTTTTCAATAAAATATATCGAGAGCAAGTCTAAGTTCTTTTATCAAAGATAATTATATTGTTACAAAAAACATCAACCTTATTTTCTTCAATTTGTCTACACTTTTCATTTTTTTAATCGAAATTTTTTTTAACTCCCTAAAAAGCTCAATCAGAACAGTGTTAGCTGAGAAAAACTTCTCAACTTATCTCAATAATGTTTTGTTAGAGACCAGATTTAAGGTGTCACTGCCGCTCAAAGAGAAATATTAGTTTTTTTTGCAAAATCTAAGTAAAAATATTTAAGATTTGCAGATTACCAATTGAGTGGCAGGTAGATGCCTGTTTTTTCTCGAGATAGAAACAGCGCATAGTTATCTTTGGGAAAATTTACAGATATAAACGACTGTAGCATCACATTTCTTCTTGAGTATTAATAAAAACGTGAGTAAGGAACACGCAGATGGGTGTTTTTTGAAGCCTCTCGTTTTAACTGGCAGTACATGATCTAACATATCGGTCGGTTTTTGCCGGTTTTTACCGGTCTGAAAATTTTTTTCAACCGGCCGGACCGAACCGGTTACAACTCTGATATGTACTCGCAGAAAGAGGTGTGTACATTTAGAGAAGACATTTATCATCACGAGGGAATGTACGAATAAATGAATTGAATAAATGAATTCTGTTCTAACTATGTAATATCTTTACTTTTAGACCTGACTCTGGAACATTTTGTGAGTATCCTTCAACATCTCTTAAAAAACGATATTTGTTTTCTCCTTGCTATAGAATAAAAATTTCGCCTTAAAAAAGGACGGGGAACGATTTCTGCTAGAAAATGGCCCAATATGATTTTGAGTGAAAATGATCGGAAATGCTTCTCTTTTCACTTCCCAATACTTCCCACGTTCAAAAATTCCTTCTGGTGTCTTTCAAACAAAAATTATTTTTCATTTTTCGCCACCAGTTCAACAAAAGCCATTTACCTTTTTGAGCAAATTTTCTCAATAGACTAATAAATTTTATCAATGGCAAAAATCGAGCACGTATTGGATTTGTCTGTTGATAGTTTTGATCAATAGCAAACATAAATTTAAGAATGAAGTATCCGGCAGCTGTTAATAATAACATATATTCAATCAAATTAGGCAAATATGTTCTCCAGTAATCATCTAAGACAATATCAATTCGAAGTGATAGATTTTCTTCGGGCACTAGCAAGAAATTAATCGGATTTTGTTCGTCGTTACCGAAGTATGCCATGACATTGGGAGGAACAAGATGTGCCGTATTCCGTTGTATAATTTGATAATGTGGATCGTCTCTCAGCTGAGTCAATACTGAATCATAGATCCATCGTTCAGACAATCGAATAGCATAATTAACAAATGATTGCCGATTATTTATAATAAATTCCTTCATTGTATCGTCTTCAAACATCATGTATTTAATGACGGACCACCGTTGTCGAAGATCGCACGTAAAGAAAAAAACAATCGATACAATATCCGACAGAGTTAAAAAGCGGAGATCAGCAGCAGGTTCCGCACTGTCACGTAAAATAATATCATTCCACTTATCCCACCAATTTTCGTCATTTTCTTCAATAGCCAGCCAGTCTCGGTAAAGATGTTCTAGCGATGAATCATACGTCTTCGGAATATAAATATTGGTTTGTTCATCAAAATTATTCATTTGAAATTGACGATATTTCTGCACCATTTCCGGTGAAAAACGTATAACATTTTCAACTGCTGGATAGTGAACGTCGTACGAAAATAGGAACTCAATATCAACGTCGTTAGATAATGGCCTAGAAGCTTGTTTTAGTAAATCTGAATTATACGAAGCTAGTATATTAATTTGATCTATGAAATAATGTTGGCATAATCCAGTATCTAGCTTTTCACATGCACATTTTATAAATCGTTTTGCCAGGTCAATACCGATTGATTGCTCATGTTGACGAATGTTTTCGTATTCATGCTCAAAATAGAACTCTTCACACATTCACAGCATACAAGTTTTAATAAAATATGATGATATAGTGTAGTTATGCAGACATTTATAGTAGATCGCGCGAGCTATTCGATTTGGCATTCTCTCGACTTCTGAACGATCGTTCGCTAAGAGACGTTCAGCTACTGAAAACGAGAAGCGAAATTCATACGGTGCTTCCGGCTCTTGGTCAGTGATTTTCGACCATTTGGGTATGACGTAGATATGTGAGTTTTTTATTCGATTATATAAATGACATTTACAATGTTTCAAATAAGTCGTACATGCATGAATTATTGACGACCAAAAGTTCAGTTTAAACGCAATAACAATATCACAATCTTCCGTTCCACTTTAAAAAATAAAGCGTGCCCGAGATAGAGAATTTTTCGGGCTTTAAAATGAGCTATAAATAAGTCTTTCGAAAATATGCCCATATGGGTCAATAGTCGAAATACTTGGCCGATGTCATGATTTTCACCTATCTTAGTGCGTTAAACACACCTTTAGTCATTTTTCTGCGGTCATAAAAAATTATATATTTTTCAAAAACATACCATTCGATAGCCCTTTAAATTCTCTACAAAGTGAGCCGGTCAGAATATCCAGACAAATTGGGCCAGTCATTAACGATATCGAAGAGAAGCGTTTGGATGTTATCTATGTAACACTAGGCTTTTCAATAGGTCATTACTATGCCAATGGAACTCCTATTCGCTTTTCTATGTGAAACTAAAGAGGATCTCTGATCATTCATACATCATTCGATGCGCCGTGAAACGTTCTACAAGATGTGTTAATAAGAAGCTTAACGAAGCTTGGCGGCGGTGTTTGGGTATTAAATACGTTGGTATTAAACCGCTTTAACCTAGAATGGCTCCAAAATTTGTTCGCTACCTTTATTTTTCATTTTCTCGTTGGCCATACTAGCTAGAACAGATTGGAAAAAAGATTTGAACAGCTGACAGAATTTGAGTTTTGCAGTACTGTATAAAAGAGTTCTATCAAAGCTCTGGAAATCAGGGTCTGTGGAAAACCAGAATCTTAGCAAAACAAAGTCCCAAAGTTCAATCTGGAAATTCGTTGCAAAAATATCCATCGTGTAGAACAAACATTTCTGAAGAAAATGAGACGTCTTCCAGCTCTTTGATCTATTGAAAAGTCTAGTGTTAAACCGATAGAATCTGCTGCCAGGGTTCGTTAAGTTCCTGTTAACATGTATTGTAGAGCTTTTGACGACGCGTCGAATGATATATGAATAATCAGAAATCCTCTTTAGGTTCATAGGAAAAAATGAACAAAAGTTCGCTAGACATAGCGGCGAGCCATGAAAAAGTCCAGTATTACACCCATTAAATCTGCTGCCAGGCTTCGTTAACCTTCCTATTAAATACATCTTGTGGAGCTTTTCACGGCGCGTCGAATGATGTATTGGACTAGGCTTAATGTTCGATGGTTACGGAGAATTTTTGATTTTACAGCTATACTGTTCGTGCTAAATCATTGCTTGTTTTGGAGTAGATTCTGGCGGGTATATTCGACTGAAAGCTCTCGGAAGAGTCAGTATTATGGACTATGATGATCGGATGTGATTCTGATGAGTTTCGTACCGTTTGGAGGAGCTAAAGTTAGTGGTCCGATTTCACGTCTTATGCGGACTTCACCTTTGCTCTGTTTTTGGTAACGTCTTTCGTTAAGTGATGTGTTTTTGTTTCTGTTAACTCTGTCCCATTTTGTTTCTCATAGTATCTGTTTAGTGTATTCCTTATCTGGCATTTGACAAAGTGTGAAGGATATCCGTTTTCGGTTGAAACCTCTGTAAATTCAAATTTCTTGTGCATGAGATCAAAAGATGAATATATCTTTATCGCTCGGTAGATCATCGAGCTAATGACACTCACTTTGTATGAGCGTGGGACGAAAGAGTTCCATTTTGTCAAGAGTCCTGTATACGTGATTTTTCTATAAATGGTGGTAGAAAAAGGTTTTGTTACATGAGGTGTACGAGTGATTCTTATATCAGAAACGGAATTGACTCATTAACTTCTCCCTCAAAGGTAAATTGTATATCAGTATCAAAACTATTTTAGAATATCCAGGACCTTGTTTACATCGGCATATTTTCTAAGAAGAGTAAACATATCATCGACAAACCTCTTCCAATACATTACGCCATTTGTTTGCAATCTAGACATCAGTTTCGATTCAAGATAGTTCACATAAACGTCCGCAAACAAAGATCCTAAAGGAGACCTCATGGCTATACCGTTGATCTGACAATACAGTTTACCATTGAACAGAAAATTAGTTTCTTGTGTACATTTTCTTAGTAACCATTTCAATTCGAAGCGATTTTTACAGTTATCACACCACAAGTCACGTTTTATGCCACTGTATGTACACGTGTGCTCGGGACCGTACATCGTATCCAATATAATTTCTATTGTTCTTTTAAGTGGCACATTTGTGAAGAGGCTAACGATATCGAACGAAATCATTTTCCTTGTGAAGTATCGATTTTGTGACTATGAAGCAATGGACTGGGCTCTCTAGGATAATAATAGGCAGATTTTGATTAAAATTAAAAATTTGTTTTATTTTTGTAGGGTAAACCTGTAATACAGAAAAAGTTAGAAGGTTGTATAGGGAATAAAAGTCAACCTCTTGTACTATTCTATACGTAACGTATGCTGATTCATAACCAATGAAAGTGAAGAGATGAGCAGTTTTACATTATCTCTGAGTGCTGGTCTGGTAGTAGGGGTTTATTTTCTAAAACTAAAATCATGGTTGGATTTGGTTCCTATGAGTAAGAAACAACAGAAGTGTGTACAATCAAGTAGAGGCGTGCACACATTTCAAAAATCGAAACTGAAAAAGCATTCAACAATTTGGAGAAATTTCTAAACCTCGATTATTTTATCCCTATCCTTTTTCTTGTTAGAAATTAGAATTTTGTAATGCGCTTATGACGTTTTTCAAGTCCGAGTTTTATCTTTAACCGCATCCCATGAATATTTATGTGTGTGAGATCGATATCTACCTAAGACGAAAAACTGGCCTAGATGAATATTATACCGTTACGATGTCGGACTCATCGAACCTTAGATATTTTTACATAGAAATGAAGATCAGATGATGCCTTCTCATGGTTAAATTTTCAACCAATTTGCTTTTGAGTTGTAACCACCAGAGCCTTCTCTCAACGAATAAGGAGAAAATGCGCTATTCCCTGCCAGAACGTCGTAGTTAGCCGAAACTTTCAGACTACGGGAACTATATGGTAAAATTTTCAGTTTGAAATGTTCCGTCCTTCATGAGTTATGCTAGTCAGAATGATGACATACGATTTCGGAAAAATGAGCTCATTCGTAAAACGGTCGGTATTTTGTTAAAGCTGGACCAAATTGGTTCATATTTTGTTTGGTGATAGCCTCATTGACTACCTACACAATGGTAGGTGAAACAATAAAAAATTCTCTTAGCGCCGCTAGAGATAAGGACTGAATTTACGACCTAGTACACAAGTGTAATTGGACTGCGGTTGGTACCGCCGATCAGGATTAGCTGTGAAATGTATTTATACAAAGTTTCAGCACGAAGGACTCGCGGGATCCTGAGATCCAGGGAGGCGGGGACTTTTGAGCGGTACTGTATATCTGAAACGCGATGGAAAAACAGAAAACCCTCTGATTCACACAGTGACGGCACTTCATTTCGTTCTTTCCATTTTCATTGTACAGTCATGATCTCTGATGGAGAAGAAACAACACTGGTTGTGCAACATTGTTTTGCGGTAGAGAACACCAACGGATACGAGTCACCAACGCAAAAAGCAATATGATAGAATTTGAGAGAGTTTCAAGTCAGGCAATCCGGACTCTCAAACGAGTCTTGAAGAGTCACTTTTCGATCGTCTGAAGGTCTCTTGTATTCTCAGTTGGATCTACACTAGGAAGTCAGTCCAAAACACACGGGACTTTTTGCTGACCACTCCTGCACTTCATCGTACAGTCACAGTAGCGCTCTTTTCTGTAAAAACGTCACAACAGAACACCAAAGTCATCAAGAGAAAAAAAGCATGTACAACTTCCTTTCTGTTAAAAAAAAGAAATTCTTCGTCTCTCTTTCTTCTCTCCCATGGAGAAAAGTCAATTTATTCACTCTTCTTTAAACACTTGCAGAGAACAGTATGCTGGAAACCTTACCGCTTTGACCACTGTGGACGAGTTACAGGAATTCTACGAAGAACGTAACGCAGTTTATTGGTACACAAGTGACACGTTTGTCTTCCGAGCTCTGAATAAGGTTTCAAGAACGCAGGGTATCGACACATTGTTACGGTTTACTTTTCTAATACAAGACTTATATCAGCAGCTGAAAGAAGAGCAGCGCTTCGAAACTGCGATAATTCACATTTATCGTGGCCAGCTAATAGGGGTCGAGGAACTAGAGAGACTGCGAACCTTTGACAAATGTTTCATATCCATCAACACACTCTTTTCAACGACTCTTAACAGAGGGCTAGCTCTGATATTTGCAGGCAGTGAGAACAGTGATGAAACGAAGGCGTTGGTGCTGTTTGAAATTACAAAGACTATGAGGCAAATCTAAAACGTTTAGTTTCATATCGTTTTGTTCTATTGGGATTGTTGTTCATTTTGCATTAGTAGCGATATGAGTTCTTTACGTCGATCATATCCAAAAATAAATATAGTATGTACAAAACTAATGCATACAATCATTCTTATCTTATTTTTAGTTTGAAAAATAAACATCAGTGTTGGATATAAATGATGAATTTATTTCGTGAATTTATAAGATTGATGCTATGAAAAATCTTCTACCACTTTACTCTTCAACATTCATCATCCCACACATTGTAAGAGTATTTTTAAAGTTTCAAATTTCTAAAAAAATTTTATTTTCAGAGATAAGAGACTTTCAGCAGTTTTCATATTTAAATGAACTAAGCAACAATAAAATCATAATACAGTATAGCATTCAACAAAGGTAGGAATAAAATGAAATGCATCTTATGTCCTTCAAATATATTATACGTTTTTAATTCAAGACTAACATTTCTAAACGTAATTTCTCAGATGTTCCCTATTTGCTTTTGTTAAACTATATTGTCTTTTTAACTTTACTTTGTCAATTGGTATAGAATCTACAGTGACAATAAATTTGAGAAGTCAGTGATCAATTTTGTAAGATTTTAGGTTTTTGACCAAGGGAGAAACAGCGGTATTAATACCGAAAAAAAATACCGTACAGATACTGCTCACATATGTAAATACCAATTGAGTTTGTGTTTAAAAGGGACATAACTGAAATATGCATTTTGTTCACTTTTTTACTCTCTTTCCACTGAAGTACAGTTAAATAGTACAGAACAAAACATGCTGTCTGTAATAGTATCTTCTATTCATATTTTCTTGGAGTCCCACGATTGATATCAGGTGACTTCATGTAAGCTTGGCGTTGCATAGAACATACGTAATCAGCCACGCTGAGTCTGCTGGCAATGTTTAGTTTTAGATCAGAACACAAGAGCAAGGTGAAAACCGAGTTTTATCAAAATTAGAGTTACCACGCTGTTGTCACCTACTATTAAAAAATTCACAGTTCACTCAGAAACGTTAGGAAGAGTTGGAATCTTCAGAACGTACGGAATTCAAGCTATTTTATACCCTATTTATACAAAAATATAGAGAAAAGGATTCTGAAATCATATGGTTTTTCAAAAGGTTTTACAGAAAACCTTTGTACAGAAACATTGTTTCAATTTGTTTTGATCATACAATTATGTTAAACAGAGACAACTAATATTATCTTGAAGTTTCCAACTCGTCGCGATGTTTCTGAGGGAGCTGTGAATTTTTTAATATTAGGTGATCTATCCATTACTTGTTTATTATACTGCTTTAGATATTTCAGCCCAGAAGTTTTCGGTACTGAAAACTATTACGAGAAGTTTATTTGCGCAATTTTTATCCGTTTTTTGCAGAAAAACAAAGTGAAGGAAATTCACCGATAGATTCAACCAAACAGTCATCTTGGAAAAGTACCAAAATACTGATTACATACCGAAGTCGCTGTTTTCCCCTTGCTTTTGACACACGACAGAATATTTTATTTTAATATTATAGATGGCATCGCAAAAAATAGTTTATGATTTATTAATCAGCGTATTTTGTTCTTTTCTACTGAGTACGTGTTTATTATCCATCTCAACAAGCAATTGGAATGTTACTACTCATCCTATCACAACAGACACTAACAATGCTATCAAATGTCTTAGACTTCTATCACCCGGTCAACAAACACTTATCAAGTGGATCATAAATACTAAAACATCGATTGAAATTCGTACAGGACTGTTTCAAACTTGTTTTTCAAAATTTTGTGCAAGTAGCCAATTGTTCACTGAATCAGCTATTCCCATACCATCAAAACGAACGTTAACTCTAGCCGTCATCGGTATACTATTACTCTTCATTGGTACATTGACATCATTTATCATGTTGTTCAGTTCGTGTATGACTCCAAATCAAACCTATGCATTAATTCCATTAAGTTTATTTTTTTCTGGTGTTTCAATGACACTTGTTTTAATACAAACAATTGATACACTAAATATCAATGGATATTCGGGTTATATTTATATTATTGACACTGTTTTATCTTATGTACTAGCTGGTATTGCATTAGTTCAAATGCAATTATTTTATATATAAATGTACTATACTAATAACTTTATTGAACAGTAGTAGAAAAAGAAAGTATACACTAGCAAAAAATACAAGAAAAACTCCATTCAGAAATACACTGTGAACAAGTGTAAAATACAAAAATGATGATAATTTTATTTGTTCTTTTTTATATATTCATTTAAATTTAGACATCAGCTCTTCTACCATACCTTCTTCTTTCAATATCTCTCGAATAAAGTTGATGTTATATCATGTATAAACCAGCATTCTTATCAACGAACAATCTAGGTGTTCTTACAAATTACAAAACAATCTTAGTCGCTCTATAATACTGTCATCCCCATTCAAATCTATAACACCGAGCAGATGCTGTTATTCATAAAATCTTCGCCATATCAATACCATATATGTTATTTAATTTACCTTCTTTTAAATAGTTCAGAACCTTTTACAAAACATGTGACATGAAATTTCTTCACTTACAAGATGTATTTCTCTCAAATGAAAAGTTACACGAAAAACATTTAAAAGCTTCAAATTGAATAATGTTCTGAATTAATTTTTTAGCAAATTTAAATTTCGCCTTATAACACTGTAAGGCTCTTGACAGGGCTTAAGTGGAAGAGGAATTCTCCTCTTTTTAAAAAGTTTCTCAGAACAAAAGTTGAGTTACTCAGCAGTGACGGGTGTGTTCATGTTCAATGTTTTTGGACTTTAAAAAGTTTTTAATCGTTCAAAAAGTTATTGTCTATCAATATCTATCCGTCCTATTGGAAGAGAGGGAAAAAATACTGCTCGTTCTAAAGGAGAAATCAACATCGAAAATATCCGATCGATATCAGTGTTGTCAAGTTTAGGCAAAGTATTTGAGAAAATTGTTTGATTTGTTTAGGCTAATGAATCAATAACAATGCCATCATGCCGCAAGAGCAGTCCATCACAGCACAATTAATCTAGTTCATACAAGATGTCACAATGTCACTTGAGAAACAAACTGGTTCTATATTGATTATTCATGTGCATTTGATCAGTCATGGAATTCGACGTTGACCTACAAATTAATAGCACTAAAATGTCTAAAACAACGAATTCAGTTCGTTATCCTGTATTTATAAAATACAACATGTTTTTATTGAAATTACAACTGTTCGTTAAACCAACATAACAGCTATCTCCATAATCAAGAGTTGTGAAACTTTCTTCGCAAAGCGAAACAATCGCGAGCTCCGAGTATCCTTCTGTGCGAAAGAGAAGATAGTGAAAGAAGCGTCGGATTTTGCTGTACTTTCGTGGCCTTTTTTAGTTTCTCTAGCTTCAGAGGGTCTCAAAGTTTTTCTACGTTAAAAATACCAGAAAAATCCGCATTTCCTATTGATTTATAGATTTTGTGGATTTTATCGAGTTTTCTTGGATTTTTCTGATTTTGTTGTACTCCCATCTCAGGATCTCAGAGTTTCTCTACCTTTGTGTACGCCTGGAAGTCCCCAAAACCCACTTTTCTTCCCTTGTGCTGAGCTGTATTCGATGAGGAAACTTCAGAAATTCGATCTGCCGTAAAGAACAAAAGTATATATATACGTTCTTTTTCGAAAAGTAGAATAATCTTCAAGTATATGAGACATAGGTTTTTTGTTTACATATTCTATTTAGAAGAAAGAAAATTTCTCATTAAGCTTGTCATCAAATAATGATATATCTTTTTCAAATAGTAGAAATTTTCTTATTAGTGGACAACGGTTTGTCAAATTATCTGAAATACTTGGAATAGCGAACAAAACCTTGTGAGACACTAATTATTTCACGGCAAACAGTATCATAGACTTGCTGTTTAGCACAAATTTTCAAATTTTCTGTTGTCATTGTGTTCAGCTTTATTTTTAATTAACACAAGAAAGAAAGAAAGAAAGAAAGAAAGATAATTTTTTTTCGGTAATATTTTTATACAATACACAGTACGTAATAGTAGATACATAGAGATGTTCATTATTGAGATTTGTGTCTTTCATGATACAAATGACAAATATCAATAAAATTATTCATCTATTTTTCAAGCATTCCCAACGAAAAAAGATCTTATACAACAAAACCAACGTTCAAAAACACAGAATCACAAAAAAGTTTTTACTGCTTTATATTATCATCGGTAATTGGAGAAGATTACAGTAAAGAAATATAGCAACAGCAACATTCTCTAATATTAATTTGAACATAAAACTAGAAATTGGAACATTGGAAGAAAACGTTCGATTTCGACATATACTTTTATAATAAGTTTATTTTCCCCATTCTCACTGGGGTATGAACGAAAAAAAACAATAGAAAGTAGAAGAAAAAATGAAATAAATCGAACAAAACAAGAAATGAAAAAAATATATATCAGGGGTTTACCTAAAAACACATGTACTTAGATGAACAAACACACACACACACGCGCACGCACACATGTACATCACGAGAATGAAAATGATATATTATAATAATCTAGAGAACAAAAAGAAAAAAAAATCAAAACAAAGAAATTCTAAAATACAAAAATACTTTTTGTGTTTTCTGAATATAGACTTTTGATTACTAATCAATATTACAATACAAACAATAATACTTTTTTGAATAAGACAAAGAGAGAAAAATCTGGGATTTACTTTTGTTGTTGCCTACGTACGATATATTCACTTAACATTGATTGAAAATCTTCGATTGTACAATTATTATCAATAAGCTAAAATAAATAGAATGTAAATGATGAATTAATACCAAACTAAAATACAACACTTTTACCATTCCATCTAAATTCATAATATTTGTCACTTGTGCTTTAACTGTATCTAATACACTACGCCATTTTGCTTCGTCTGTTTTTCGTTGTTCAACGATCTAAAATAAACAAAAACGTTGGCAATCAATATATAACAGTATTGAATTAATCATCAATTAATAGTTTTTCAATGAAAAGAAGTGAACTTACACGTGTCATTTTTTCTCGATAAGATTGCATAAATTGTTCACATGGAAAATCAGCTAGACCTTTAAGATCGAGTGCTGTTATTTCATCTCGTTTCAATATCCAATCTGGCGGTAACATAAATTTAATCAATGATTTAAAATTATTCATCGCTTTTGTCGTTGTTGTTTCGTCCGTTAATACTGTCGACATGGAATTATTTTGTAGTGAAGTTTGATCAGGATTGGTATCACTCAGAGATATTCCATTTGTCAATAATTGATTATCATATGTCGGTGTATCTGCTGCTGTCATAGATGATTGATATTCATGTTCATACGACCATTCAGGCGAAGCAAATGTGTACCTAAACAGTGGAATATAAGTTATATAATAATTTTCAAAATTTACTATGATTTGAATTTACCATCGATCAAATTCTGCTGTTGGATAAGCATCAAATCTCATTTTGAATTTTTTGGAATTATTATTAACAGTTAGAACGATACCAGGATATTTTTGACTTTGATACATCGCTCTTATTCGATCATTGACACGTGGTGGTAAACGTTGAGAACATTGGATTGTATCTGAATCATCATTAGTATTTTCAGTGGAAGATGTAACATCATTTGTTGTTGATAATGAAGAATTCACTTCACGACTAGCCTAAAAAGAAATCAATTAAAAGCCATAATTAGTCAGACATATTGAAAACGTAAATGTCAATATAAGATGGCATAAAAAAAGGTATTAGAGAGGCAAATAGGCGATTGAAATAGAGAACTCACTGGTTGATTTGATGATCTTAATGTTGTATCACCATTTGCAGTGACACATTTTGTTGAACGTATGTTTTCTAAGAGAAAAAAATGAAAATGTATTAGAGTATTAGAAAAAAATTGATTCGAATTTGTACCTTTCGGTTGTTCATCTTCATCGTCTGACTCTTCTGTTTTTTCTTCGTCGTCTTCCTCTTCGCTACTCTGATCATTTTTTCTACTATCAGATAGTTTTGCTGTTGTGCGACGTTTTTTTGTAGGTGTTACATTTCCAGAAGATGCTCGTGGTGTGACGGACTTTCTCAGCGGTCGTTTCATTGAACTACGTTTTGACTGTTGTTGTTGTTTTTGAATTAATGATTGACGAGTATTTGACGATGAATGGGTTATTTTTGACTAAAACAGATAAGAATATATTTCGGAATTTATTTCGATTCTGGAATTTCCTCAATGGAAACCCTTTTTTTGTAATAAATAGTTAAAAACAAATTACCGTTGATTTTGTAGATTTATCATTATTATTATTTTTATTATTTACAATTGATTGTGCAGCTGATGTTATTGATCGTCTTGACATCGTTGACAATTGTTGTGGTGGTAATGATGGTTTTAGAAGAACAGATGCTGATGCTTTTTCTTTATCGCTTGGAGATGTTGATGCTTTTTCTTTATCGCTTGGAGATGTTGATGATGAAACAAGATCACCGTTCGTTGGTAGTATACGCTTTGATTTTGATGCATCACTACTGGGCAGTGATGGTGGAGATGATATTGTTGGCTTTTTAAGTGTACCTTCAGATAAAATGTCTTGTTTTTCTGGTATATCACAACTATACATAAATAAAATAAAATAAAATCCTTATTCGGTTATATCAGAGCATCACGTCTTTTAGGTTCATTTTTGATCAGACGCGATATTTGCTAAAAAGTTTGTTCTCAGGTATAAAGACTGCATGTCGAATACAAACCTATTCTGTTCAACATTTGGGTTTTGTGAACATGTCCATGTATCTGGCTGTGTCGTAGGAGCTGATCCAAATGGTAAACGACGCCATTTTAAACATTTATCACATTGTAATAATACACCCACAGCACTTAAACGACGTTGACTATATATCGACTCATTTGATGGCGATGTATCTAAACCACCTTCTTTTGCATAACCTAAAAACAAACAACAATGTACGATGTGATGACAACTGACAAAACGCTCAATTTAAGAACACGTATTATTCTAGAAATAAGATGAAAATGTCAATTTTATTCCTAGTAGTGGGATCAATTAACACACTTACCAAATGATTCCCAAAATTCAAGTACATGATTTTCGATTCCAGTATCATCCCAATATTGTTTCATATAATCACCCATTATTTTTAATAAATAAGCATACTCTTTTTCATCTGCGAAGCTTTGTTTATTATGTGTTGGTTCAAGAACAATATATGGGACATCGACAACACCAACAACACCACGACAAAATCTATAAAAGCACAAAAAATAGTAAGAGAAATATACCAGAAGAATTTGAGAGTTTTAATTACATACAATGCTTTGCTATTCAAAATGCCAACTCTTTCGTACATTTTAATTAATCGACCGCAATTATAAACAAAGACACCGTCAGCTGAACGTTCTTGTACATTTAAACCAAATATATAATTCAGGACTTTTGGATCTTTAATTTCACTAAAAAACAAAGAAAGAAACATTAGAAAGAGTAAAAATACAATTTACATAGAGTTTGACTGCCATCTCTTTTTTTCTTATCATAAAAAATTCAAATATCTCCTAGATATCGTCGAAAGACAATAAGAAATCTTTCGTACATACCGTTGTTTTCTTTCCAATATTCGTTTTTTGATATCTAATGTACTTTTTAATTGACTAGCAGCCATTTGTGCTTTTCTCAATGTCGATCGATCTGTTAAATCTGAACTGTTACCAATACGTTGTGCTAAATCCAATGCTTTACTTTCAGCTTCTCTAGCTCGATCTTCAATAGTCAAACAATCTTCTTGCGCTTTTTTCGCTTCTTCTTCACTTCGTTTTTTAAATCGATTTGACATACATTTGTACATTCTTGGTTTATATAATGAACATGATAATTTTTTTGTTATAACTTTTTTATTTTGAATATAGACTTTCATACGTGGCTCATAATACAATATTGATACATAAGCACGCAACGATCGACGTTCAGCTGGAATACTAAATACAAAAGAAAGTTGTTAGTATACATAGACATGAAAAAGTATATCATTATCTTAAATATATCTAATAAAAATTCATTTGACATACTTATAATGATCATCTGATATACTTCGAGAATCTCTTGAATCAATAAGAATATCTGACTTGTCTGTTTTGATATCTAATTCTGGTTCACTATTATCCAATAATTTCATATTATAAAGTATAATTAATGTACCCGATGATGATTTAATTTGTTCAAATTGTTTGAATAATTCATCACGTGTTTTAAATGGTGAATATTTATAGATTAATTTCATTTCTGTATCATATCTTGTTTGATCATACTCATTATTTGATGGAAATAAAGGTTCTTTTGTTGTTAAATTAAATGATGGCATGGGTACAATAACTTGATTTAAATCTTCTTCAGTATGAAATGTACGTGATAAAAATAAACATGTACCAACATTATCTTTTTTAGTAAATAAAATAAAATCATTCGAAATACGCATGGCACCCGATTTCAAACCATTTCCATATTGACCAATTTGATTTGTTTCAATATTACGTTTATTTGATTTACCAAACACAATCACATTAAATACTTCTTCTAAACAATACCAAAAGAAAATTATTAAATAATTGTCATGATATTTCTATTATGTAAATTTGAAGAGGAAATATTAATCTATACATATACTATAGTATAAATGTTTCTTTTTAATTTTTTGATCAATTATAACATCGTACTTACCATAATGCATACCGCATCCATCATCTAAAAATGCTAAATAAAATCCACCACGTAGATATGGATCTTTTACTGTAAATATTTTCAAATTTTGAGCTTTTGCATCTCTTGCATTATCTACTAATTCAGCTAATGCTCCAAATATAAATGTATGTGTAGTAGAATTTGTATGAAGATATTCAAAACTCAATTGGGCTTTATTCAATAAATCATATTCCATAATACTGGCAACAATGTTTAACTATCAATACAATATTGGGCGAATATTTTGAATTATGTCTAGAGAAATGAAAATCAATAGAGAAAAAAAAAGCAGTCAGAATAAACTAAAAAGTTTATTTCTTCAACATTAATATAGAAGATCTCATTGAATCAATGACAAAATGTATGCTTGTTTTAAAAAATAAAAACTTTCTTTAATGCATGTATAAATATTCACTTCTTAAGTAACTCTCTGATATTTCAGGTCTATGAATCATGTTGCATGATGATTTAATAATATAACAAGAAGACATGAAACGAAATAATGCATTTTTTATTCCCATTTGCTTTCATTTCATTATAACAAAGATAATACACATAAACGAAAAAACAAAAAAAACGGAATGTTTCAGATATAAAAAACAAAGATTACAAGAAGAAAAAAAAAAAATATTGAAAAATAAAACAACTTTAAAAAACAAAAAAAAATTATTTTGCAACTTAAAAAGAGTATTCTTAGCAACGTTTCATTCTTTATTTTGTCATACGTAGAGACTTTGTGCACAGATAATATATGAAAAATTTCTTTGAAGATTTTAGACTGTCAGTAAAGCAAAATGACAATAATAGAGATCATTATTGAATTGGCTAAGAATTGAGCCTATTCGAAAATTATAAAATTTTATCTTCATAAATGTCATTATCTGCTCATTTAAACATAATAAAATGAATAATGTTAAAAACTTGAATAAAATTTATCATAAAATTATGATAATTGAATAGAGTGAGAAACTGAATTGTCAATAAATTTAAAAAATATTTAACTAAAACAAAACATTTACATACAAAACGAAAAATAAAATTTGTTAATTGTTGTATGTCACATCGATATGGTTAAAAATTATAAAATATGTTTTTTGTTCAAATTAATATAGCGCGTAAAAGCTCCAAAGCAAGCAAGAGCAAAATGATCACACATATAGTCACACACGTACACACATGTCTTTTTAGCAAAACTCAATTGATCACTTTATTTACTGTCATTAATCTGTTGTACCTGACATATTGAAAGCATATTCGGCTTTTTTATGCATAATTAAACAATTGTCAACAAAATAGAAACTATCCGATTTTGTTTCATATGGATGTTTGACCATTTCTTTAACTACAATAAAAGACAAAACATTAAACTTGTAAAAATATACATTGAGTGAACAACAATTTTTAAAATGATTCGTAAAAATAATGAATAAAAACTACAATTGTTGTACATTTTCTACTTGAAAATTATAATCAACTTACTTTGATCAGATTTAAATTCTGGTAAATCATATATATGTTCAATAGAGTTTCGAGAATTTGGCATACAAAATCCAAAATTAAAATCAAAACTTTTAATCAATTGATCACGAAAATAATGACGTTCAATCATTTGAAATGATTTGACTTCTTTATCACCCACAGTAAAATCAACTCTAAAAACAAAAACAAAACAAAAAACAAACAATTGACGTACATTTTCTATATCAAAACATATATAATTGTATAAAACATTTGATATACTGTGCTCCAACTTGTTTGAGTTTTAAAAATGTAGGTGGAAAATGATATTGAACAAAACGACTTGATGATGAATCATCTTCAGCAATATCTCCATCTTCTGAAAATAAAAGATGAAACTATTGTCATGTATATTAATATAATCTATAAAAAAAAAAACTACCTGTCGATCTTTCAACCTCAAATAAAACATGATTACTGACCATATCACGTATTCGAAATCGAACAAAATCTATTTTATAACTATTTTCATCTGTTTCACATAAATATTCTAAAAATAACATAAAAATTTGAAATAATTTTTGATAGAAAAAAATTCATAAAAATCAAACATACAAACCTTTTGTTGGTTTTCGTAATCTTAAAACATCATCAACTGTAATAGGTGTATCTTTTTTTCTCAATTCTTCTTCTGTTATTGGTTCACCTACATTTGGCATCGGTGTGGCTGTATGAGTTTTAGATCGTTTACCTCCACTTAGTAACGATGGGGTAGTCATTATCTATGTGAATAGATTTAATCTGAAATAAACGCAACAAGTATGAATTTATTACCATTTTAGCTGACAGGTGTCTAATCTGTCAATCAAGATTGCCAAATCTACTGATTTAACTAGTAATCTACTAAGGTTTTTTGAATTTGTATCTTCATCACCATTTTTAGCTTATTCTATCAGGATTCTGTCCCTACAGTATGGAGAGTGGCTTGTTACTACTTAAAATTCCTCGTACAAAACTATAGTTTTTTCTTTTACTCTTTGGTGTATTCCATCATTTGATTATTTTTTTTGCTAGAAATCTACTTTTTGTATTTTAACAATCAAGCGGGAACAGTTTTAAAAAAGAGAAATGAACATTCTCTATAATTTCTTCAATTCTCTCACACAGAATCTTGTACTTTGCAAACAAATGTAAGTTAACATAGATAAACCGATCAATAAAATTGCGAAGATGAAGGAAACCTCATATCTAACTTTTGATTTCAAAGAAAAATACTGATTTTTTCCTCATTGTTGAAATAACCGTTTACTGATAATCCAATCCTTTTTTTAAAATAACTACTGATTTGAGTTGACAAATCTGAATATAATGAAGAACATTAATAAAATCACAATTCAATGTGATATTTTATTCATAAGATGAAAACGGAAAACAACGAAGAAACATAAATGAAGAGAAAAACCGTACATATTGTGCAAAAGAAACACAACGACAAGAACAACAACATCAAAGATACAGCTAGAAAAAAAAGCAACTTAGTTGCAATGACAACGAGTCAAAAAATGGAGAAAAGCAAACAAAGTTCATGTTTTACTCAGCTACTCACAAAAGTAAGAAAAAAAACATCAGAAACAATTTGTCATATTACCAAAAACAAAGCAAAAAAAAAAGAAGAAGATTGCACAACATCTAAAAAATAAAATGAGTGGAGAAAAAAAAATCATCAGTCTAAACGAATACATACCAAAACTGAATATAGAAACAGAACGCGTTTTTTTTTTTGATTTTGTGCATCATTCAGAACAGAGGACTAGTACACAGATATGCATACAAACAATACCGAAAAAATCTATAGACAACAAACAATAATAATAAGAGAGAATGAGAAAAAAAATCTGCTTTCTAAGATCTCAACATCATTCAGAAAACACAAAAAGGACATATTTGTCAATAAAAGAAACAAAACAAAACAAATAACTGTTTGAAGTTAGGCTTTTTTTCGTCATTCAGTAGAGTACGGTTAACGATAAATTATACGCAAGAAAGAAAAAGAGCGCGTAGATAATAAAAGTTTAATGTCGAAGTATAACGGGGTGAAATTCAGTATTCAATCGTGTCGATCTAAAATAAGACTATTATATTTTATTTACAAAAGAACTCTGAGACCATTACTTACTTAGTATTAACATTTGTTGGTGTTATCGGTGGTGTAGATATAATGTCTGTTAATGATTCAGTGCGTTCTTTCTCAACTTTTTCATCAATATGTTTATCAAATTCAGCTACTTTTGGATCTGATTCATCACGGGGCTTACCAGTGCCTAAAATAAACTAAATGTTATAATAAATTGCAAAAAAATCTCTTTGATACTTCATTCTTTATTCATGACTAGTTAAAGATGAGTAATAAGTATATCTTAACATTAACTCTTACTTTGATACTGCAAAATACAAAAATGAAGATAAAGTCAAAAAAAAACCTACCAAAGATGCCTGCATTTCTTGACGCAGAATTAAGTGGGGCTGAACGTGGTAACAATTGTAAACGAGGTCGTTCAACAGCATTTGATAACGACTCTAAAGACATAAGAAAAATAAACATCATTGAAGAGGAAAAGCAAATATGTGCATACACAAACGAAATCAAGCCAGAACCAACTGACCTTTAGTTTTATCATTCGGTGAGGGTTGATTATTATTAATATCAGCTTGTTTATTATCCGTATCACTTAAAACACGTGTTGATGATTGACGTCCTGGCTGCCTATATTGGTAATCTTGAAACTGATTATGATAATTTCCCCTATTATTATTATACAGTTGTTTTTGTCCTCGAAACATATTATTATTACCAAGATCAGTTCCGCGTCCATTTCTCATTCCGCCACCGTCTGTCATCGGTCCACGTGTAGAAAAGCGATCGCGTTGCTGTTGAAAATTACCATCCATCAATCCGCGATTGCTATTTCTTCCGGCACCACCTCTTCCCCCTTGCCGATAGCCACGCTGTTGCTGTGGTGGTCCGCCAAATTTGTCAAACATAAATGGCTGAGATTGTTGTTGAGAATCAACTGATTTGTGTGTAGGTGAAAAATGTGGTTCTGAATTACCAAACGTATCAGGATGATCATCAGCAGAATCCAAAGCTGGCTCACAGTCAGCCCAATTTTTACTACGTTGACGTTGGTTTACCGGACCAGCTCCACCAGTCTAAGCAAAAAACAAATTTAAAATTGAAATATTAATCGAAAGACTTTACTGGTAAACTTGAGTGTTAATAACGCTAGTGTTTTTCCATCACCTGCTGATTTTGCATGTCTGCTAATTTGTCTTCATTAACACCATCATATAAAATTTCTTTGTCATTTTCGTGATCATAGTGTTCTTCTTCATGTTCTAATCCATCGTGTAAATGGTCAAATTCATCTGTTCTTGCTCCCTCGCTATTTATTTCGGGCACAACGGCTGCTGTAAAGACATCATCATCGTTATTTGACGAACGTTTGCGTTGACTATGTGTTCGTTCACGAGATTGTTCATTATGTGGCGAGCTATTTGTGCGTGATGTTGGCTGTTGTCGTCTATTTTGATATCCACCACGAAATTCTTGTTGTGGTTGCTGTTGATAATTAACATGATTTTGACCATGATTATCGAAATCATCTGAAGATTTTCGCGGTTGGTAATCACGACGATTGTTATAGTGAGGCTGCTGTTCGTAATAACCTAAATAAAATATAATTGGTTTGATAATATAAAATATACATATAAAACTTGATTGAGAAAAAGAATTCCTCTTAAGAGCGAATTAAAAGTGTCTTCGTTCAGTCAATGACAAATCCAGCATATTACATTAAGAAATTGTATGTGACAACTGAAAACTCATACCAGAATCACTTTGATAATAATTTGGTCTTCCTCTCATATTTCCATTTCTGTCATCATACTGCCGATCGTCGCCATTTTGTCTGAACTGCTGTCCACGCCTTTGAGACTGCTGTTGCACTTGATGATAACCGCCAGCACGTCGTTGTTGCCCATTACCATTCTCATCATTGTAATCACCTAAAGATACAAAATATTATTATGATCACTAGAACAGCAATTCTTAGAAAGAATATTTACCTTTAGTACGTCCTGTAAAACCTTGATTATTTTGTCTCTGTGTTACACTAGCTACATCGATACGAATACTTTTGTCGTTGATCATCTGAAAAATGACACAAATAAGTATAACAACGTCGTAGCAGCTCCACTTTGCAGACATAATACAAGTCGACAAAGAGATACAAAATTTTTCTTTTCTATAGTGAATATCAATTCAAATTGAATCACTTACTGCACCATCGAAACTCAGCGCTTGTCGTAAAGAATCTTGATCTTCGAAATCGACATAAGCAAATCCTCAAATACAAAAAACACTCAAAAATTTCGAATTCAAACAAATTAAGTCTGTTCATACCACGAAAACGATCTGTTTCACGATCACGTACCAATCGAACTTGTTTGACCTAAATATAATTAAATATAAAAAAGAGTTAAGACTTTTTAGTTGAAAAAATGCCTTTAATCCATTAAATAATCTTTCATCAAAATCGCCTTGTACAACATTATCGGGAAGATTGCCTATGTAAGCTGTAAAAGGAGCTGTAGGCGGAATTGTTTGATGCCGATTATTGCTTCGTGTTTGACCACTGCTGTTTTGGTATGATCCGTTATTATGACTAGAAATGAAAATAAACAAAAATTTATTTATAGTTTTAAATATAAAGTATAACATTAACACATTAGAATGCGCATTCTAATGTGTTATTATGGATTTTTCCTCTCTTCTTCTTTCGTTATTGTTGGGTATTTTGAATTTTCCAAACTTCTTTCTTTAGCTCTGCATATATTTTTATATATATACTCCTTCTTTTCTTTTTGTCATTCACTCTTAAAAATGATCTAAGTTGTGATCGAAAGGTCGAGTGTTTAAAATAAATTCAGAAGAATTTTATTAACATGTTTTTCATAGCAGTATTATACTTTATATTTAAAACTTTATTTCCAACTGCTCATTCAAATAATTATTTATAGTTCAACTGTACGGACATATTTTTACTAAGCTTACTTGTTATATCGTCCACTATTTCTTTGTCCATAATGCTGCGAGTTCATATGGCTAGACTAATTTCGAAAGCAGTTTCGCTGCTATTAGACAGAAGACAATACACAATAATTTTGAAAAAAATAAATAGAATGAATTTAGCTTTATCTGAAAAAAACAATGGCAATAATCGATGGCCAATTAGAAGGTTGAATTAAAATTTAGGATGTAAAATAACTCAACTAAGATGCGATGTTTTTGTTTTCAACCGATTCAAAACTAATTTATAAATATTTTTTAGAAATCATATTTAAATACGTTGTGTACAGGGATGCAGAATCTATTCATACGAATGACATAAATCCTACAGTAGAAAAATTTCTGAAAAAATTCCTTAGTAGTATCAGAATATGGAAAATAATTCCTTACGCAATTATTTTCCAGCGAAAATACTATTTTGTCGACACTTTTCTAAAAAATTTTCGCTCGACAGTCGACAAGATAAACAGATATTCTTCAATTTTGGTAATGCATGTATTGTTTTCGAATAAAAATTTCATTTTTAACCAACATGATAGAATGCTGTGTTTTCATTATTTTTAACACTCTGTATTAATATCGCTAATTATTTCAGCTCAGAAGAAGTATCAATCCTCCTTGTATACAGAACCGAGATATCTGTGAAGCAAAAAACTATATATAAAACAGAAATAAAATACGTTGTCTCAATTTTTTTGTTTCAATTTAATTTGCTTATTTTTGTAAACATACAGTCCAACAAGAAAATGAAGAAAAAAAGAGAAATAGAACGATGTGGTTTTTTGTGTGTAAAGTGGAAAAAAAATGAAAAATACAAAAAAACGAAAAACATCCATGCTATACATGTATTTATATATAGTAATAGAAAGAAGGATAGTAATTGTAGTGTGTAACACTACTGTTTGTGTTTTTAGACTTAGTTCTTTTTTTGCTTTGTTTTAACAAATAAACATCCACAACAACAGATAGAAAAAAAATGAGGAAAATAATCGCGAGTAATTCATTGTCTCACCTCCCAAAAGTGAAGTGCAATAGTAGCAATAACAACAAACAAACAAAACAAAAAGATTAGTCGCATATAAGCGTGTGATAAAAGAAATGTTTTGTGATTCCCTTGTTTGGTTTTTTTAAGAACGTATAAAACTGAAGAAATATAAGAAGAAAGTAAATTCTAACAACACACAGACACACAAATACACAGATAAGACAACCAAATATTTTTTTTTTTCTAGGTTGAGAGTAAAAAAATCACAGTATATATTTTCGGTCTTCTCTTATTTATATAGTTACTAACGCACGCACACACTCACGCAGAAAAATGATTAGTAGTAGTAGTTAAAAAGAAAAAAAGCCAAAATTAAAACAACCTCTGTTGTTTAGGAAAACACAACAGCAGCGTGACGCTTAAAAATTACGATTTTGTTGGGGAGCCTGTTGTTGATAACGTTGCGATTGTTGATTTTGTTGTTTCTGCTGACTCGATTGTTGTTGAGTTTGTTGTTGAGCATTTTGTTGTATTTGTTGTTGTGGTGGTGTAGCCGTATGAGGAGCCATTGCAAACAAATACTGTGCTTGTTGAACAGGAGGTGGTGTCTGTGTGCCACCACCTTGATGATAATTTACAGTTGACATGTCTAAACAGCAACAAAATCGTAAAACGTATTTGTTAATCAAGTTTGATCAGGAGTTCGGTGGGACAATAGCTGATAGAAAATCAATCTCTTATTATTACGATTAATGGGTAATAATTTCAAGATAAAAAACACGATAACAGCAGCATTTTTTTTTAATCTCTTACCTAGAGCAACAACTCTTGTTTGTCCTTGTTTTAGCATATCGGTATTTGTTCGTGGCTGATTTGTTGCTGACGTTGCACGCATAGCATAATTTGTATAATCAAGTTGTTGCTCTTTTTGTGGTTGATTATATAAACCAGGTGGCAATATAAATCCGTAACTTGGAGCTGTTTGTTGTGGGTACTGTGGTAGTAGAGTCATTTGTTGAGCGAGAGCAGACGCATTTTGAATCATTGTTGGATCACGTGCTGCATAACTTAATGTTTTAGCATCACCTGTGACAGTTATAGGTGGTGTCACTGAACCACCATGGTATGTGGGTACTTGTGTAACAGATGCCACGCCTTGTGCCTGAGATGATGATTGTTGTGATGATTGATAATTCCCTGTTTGTTGTAGAAATGAGGCGGCTGCTATTGAATAGAGCCGATCATCAGGTGTACCATAATCATAAGTTTGAGCAGGATAGCCTAAAACGACAATGAAGAGGATCAATTGAGAAGAGTTAGCAGTACAAATGGAAAGCTAATGAAAAAGTATGAGAACGAGTGACATGAACGATAGGATGACTTTGTTATGTTGAAAGACAAATATGTTGGTATTT